GCCTGAGGCACAAGCGCCAATGGTGCCCGCACCCGACGGCTCAAGCGCGCACGGCGCTCTCTCTCACGCCTCTCCCTCCCACTCTTCCTCATGCACGCTGTGCCAACCTGTCTCCTTCCAGCTCTTCCTTCGCTCTCACACGCGCACTCTCCTGCGTTCTCGCCCCCTCGAGCTTCCTCTTCCCCCCTCTTCAAATGGTACGCAAGAAGAGACCAATCAACACACAGAAACTACAAATATGTACAAAAATTCGGAAATAAAGGAAACTTTAGTAGGGGGAAGGGAGGAAAAAAGGACCGGGAATGGTTAACGCACCTGCAAATCACGGTGCAAAGAGGAACCCGCGCTCGCGCACCAGCTCCCACTCGCGCACCAGCTTCCTCGTGACCTCTCGCCAGACGCGACGGCGAGATGGGAGGGAGAGGCGACGGCGGGACGGGAGGGAGAGGCGACGTCGGGATGGGAGGGAAGCGACGGCGGGACGGGAGGGAGAGGCGACGGCGGGATGGGAGGGAGGCGACGGCGGGACGGGAGGGAGAGGCGACGGCCAGACGGGAGGGAGCGGCGACGACGGGACGGGAGGGAGCAGCGACAGCGGGAGGAGGGAGCGGCGACGGCGGGAGGAGGGGGCGGCGACGGCGGGAGGAGGGAGCGGCGACGGCGGGAGGGAGGGAGCGACGACGGCGGGAGGGAGGGAGCGGCGACGGCGGATGGGTGGAAAAGGCGACGGCGGGTGGGAGGGAGAGGGATGGCGGAGTCGGGGGAAGGAGCGATGGAAAGGTGGGAGGGAGAGGCGATGACGAGGTGGGTGGGAGGGAGGGAGAGGCGATGACGAGGTGGGTGGGTGGCAGGGAGAGGCAACAGGTGGGTGGGGAAGGAGTTTTGAGATTACCCGGCTGGTTGTGTAATTGCCAGATATTGACCAGGCATACAACACGTGTGTCAGATCAGAACACGAAAAAAAATATGAAAACATGAACAAAACTTGGGCACTTGAGAAACAATACCAACTCGTGTCACGTGAAAACACACGCATTAATCACGTGACACATCTGGCATTCGACTGAGCTGGAAAACAACTCACTATGAACCGCACATTTGCTAGGAAGAACCTCATTCTGCACAGTTTTACAGAATTAAATCTTTGAGGATAGGGAACGCCATTCTTCACTGAGTAAAAAAAAAAACAATCAATGTGTCTAAATCCTCACCTTTAATTTAATGATAAAATCATAAACAGCCACCCCATAATGAATAGATTGCACAATCAAGAACTAAAGAGCTTTCCATATTCCTCAAAACGAGATATATAATTTGACGCTCCATATATCAAATCACATGCCCTCTTTTTCAACGAAGGATGTAACATCTACGCAACCCTTCCGACGTTAACGTCGAGTCTTGTTTTTACTACCAACATAAAAACTATTTTTCATGCGCTAGAATTTACTAAAACCCACGAGTCACATTACATTAGACTAGAATCCTAGCCTACACACCATAATCAAGAGTAGTCTAGCCTAAGGCCTACTCCTCGTCCGATTCAGGCTCCGTGGAGTTGTTGCCAAAGAAGCCGTCTGCTTGGACGTCGTCATCTACCTCTACCTCGTGGGACAGCTGACTTCTCCGGTGCGCCATCACCAGTCCGTCTTCGCTCCTGTCAAGGGCATTGCTGATGCCGCAGGTGAGGAACGCCCTCTTAATCAGGTCGGCGGGCACAGCCTTCCACGCCCGTGAAATCCACTTGAGCACCACCTCCGGAGGTGGTTTCTTGATGTTCCCTGCACCACACATACCGGTGTGGGAAACAAGTAAGTCCACAAGCAGGCAGACAAGCACATGAAGGGGTCACGGAAGGACATTTTGCCTACCTGCGGGTGTCAGGATGTTCATGCCGTCCTGCTCAAACCATGTCTGGTACTGCTGCCGAACGCTTGCCTTGAAGCTTTTGTTGATAGACACATCGGGCGAAGTCTGCCGTGCACCCCGCCGGGATGATCGCCGGCACGATGTTGAGCGCCGCGAATCTCGCCTTCACTTCGGGTGTCCGGTGACCACGGTAGGAGTCGAGCACCAGCATGGCGCTCTGGCTCTGCACGCCGAACTTTGGTTTCAGGAACGGCACCACGCCCATATCGAGCCACTCGATGACGCCCGAGGCCTCCATCCACCCGTTAGCTTGGCAGCCGACCACGACATCTGCATACAAACATGCGGTGGTTAGATTTTATTATTGTTTTTACCCACGGAAACAAGCGCACTAACAGCTTCTTACCGTTTGGGAAGTCTCCCTTTGGGAGGGTCTTGCGCTTGAAAAACACCCACGGCTTCAACTTCTCGCCCGTCGCTGTGCACGCCAGCATCACTGTGACTCTCTCTTTAAGGTAACCACCGCTGCGGATGGGCACAGACTTTACGCCCGTCTGCTCCACCGTGGTAGTCGCTAACATCTCCAGCCACAAAGGCGTCTGGTCGGCATTGATGATGTATCGATTGTCGATGTCGTACTTGTGGCGTGCATCGCGGACAAACTGCCAAAATTCCTTGCACTGCTTCGCCATGTCTGCGCACGGGGAGGGAGGGAGAGATAAAAGGGCGGATGAGTACCGCTACAAGATAAACATACATGGGCGGAGATACTGTCAAACTTATACACTATAGTCTGTGTAGGCTGTAGTGGGGTAGCTCATATGGGGTACAACATTCTAGGGTTTGGTACTTGTACTCCTCATGCTGCTCAATGCATTCATTCTCGTTCCAATTTTCACATGGTATAGAGCAGGTTCCCTCGTGGGAACTGTTCCTAGGGCCCACCGTAAGATTTTTTTTTTCCTGCCCGGAGCGCGCTCCGCCCCTGCCCGAGTCGCGCTCCCCTCCCCTCGCTTCCCTTAGCGGCCCCGTCGCGCCGCGCTTCCGGCCCCGGCGCCGCCTCTGCTGGCCCCGGCGCCCCCCTGTCGCGACCCCGCGGCCCCACCCTCGCGTCGCCCTGCGCGGCGTCGTTACAGCCGCCCGCGACCCCGACGCCGCCCGTCGCGACCCCGTCGCCCTTCGCGCCGCCCGCGACCTCGTCGCCTCGGCCGCCTGCGATCCTATCGCTGCAGCCGCCCGCGACCCTGTCGCCGCAGCCGCCCGCGACCTTGCCGTCGCCGCCGCCCGCGACCCCGCTGTCGCAGCCGCCCGCGACCCTACCGTCGCCGCCGCCCGCGACCCTGCAGTCGCAGCCGCCTACGACCTCGTCGCCGCGGCCGCCTGCCCTCCCGTCGCCGCAGCCGCGCGCGACTCCTGTGGTCGCAGCCGCCCGCGACCCCCCGTCGCCCCACCCGTGCGACCCCACCGCCGCCCTTTGCGGCCCCTTCGCCATCCCTTCGCGGCCCCGCCGAGCAGCCGCGCCGCCGAGCCGCCGAGCCGCCGAGCCGCCGAGCCGCCGAGCCGTCGTTGCCGCCGAGTTGCCGAGCCGTCGAGCCGCCACTGCCGCCGTGCTGCCGAGCCGCCGAGACGCCGGTGCCGACGAGCTGCCGAGCCGCTGAGCCGCCGAGCCGCCGTTCCTGCCGTCCCGGCCCTGTTCCTGCCGACGCGCCTCGGTCCTTCTCGCCTGCCCGGTAAGAGCAGCGCCTCCACCACTGCTCTGCCCTAGCCTGCTGCTCTCACTGCTAGTCTACTGCTGTCATGGCTTCCCCCAGTGTCCTCACTTTTGATGCTGAGGGTCGGGCCATTGACTTTGACGTCTGGGTAGATGACCTGCAGCTTTTCCTACTGAGCGACAGAGCAGACGGCCTCTCCCTTTTTGACCTCACCTCTGGTGCCTCTCCTGCCCCTGCTGCTGATGCTGACCCCACTGTTCGCTCCCAGTGGGCCACACGCGATGCTGCTGCCCGCCTTGCTGTGCGCCGCCACTTGCCGACCTCTGAGCGTGCGCACTTTAGCCAGTACAAGAGTGCTAAGACCTTGTACGACGCTGTAGTTGCGCGCTACTCTTCCCCTGCCACTGCTGCGCTTAGCCGCCTTATCCTACCGTACCTCTTCCCTGACCTCGCCGCTTTTCCCACTGTCGCTGACCTCATTACGCACCTTCGCACTAGTGACACTCGCTACCGCGCTGCGCTTCCTGCTGAGTTCTGCGCCAAGAACCCCCCCCCCCCATGTACATCACCCTCTACTACATAGTCACCCGGCTCCCTGACACCCTTCGCCCGGTTAGGGACCACTTCCTCTCTGTTTGCCCCACCACCCTCACCGTTGACCTCCTCGAGGAGCGCCTGCTCGCGGCAGAGAAGAGCATAGTCGCAGTAGGTGCCTCTCGTGGTGACCCTCGTACCCCTGTCTTTGAGGGGTGCTCCCCCTCTCCCCTCTTGCCCTCTGTTGCCTCTGCTGCTGCGGCCGACCTCGTTGGTCTTGAGTCGGTCGCTGCGGCGTCTGCCCCTAGCGGGAGACGCCGCCCTGGCAAGGGCAAGGGGGGCAAGGGTGCTGGAGGAGCTGGAGGGGGCGGTGGAGGCGGAGGTGGAGGTGGTGGAGGGGGTGGGGGTGGCGGTGGGGGTGGTGGCGGGGGTGGGGGCGTCGGTGGCGGGACTGGAGGTGGAGGTGGAGGCGGCGGTGGCGGTGGGAGCGGAGGTGGCGGAGGTGGCGGTAGTGGAGGAGGTAGCGGCGGAGGCGGCGGAGCTGGTCGGGGTGGCGCTGCGCAGAGGGGTGGCTCCGGTGGTGGTGCGCGCCAGCAGCAGCAGCAGCAGCGTACCCGTGAGACCCCTTCCCCCCAGCAGCTTCGTGAGTGGTACGCTGCTCGTCAGCGGGGTGGGGGTGCTGGCCCCTGCACCTACGTTCTCCGTACCGGCGACCGGGCGGGTGAGCAGTGTGGAGGCCCGCACCCCACCCAGCGCTGCTTCGGTCGGCTGACAGACGCGTGGCGCCACCAGTTCCCCGACGCTACGGAGATCCCTCGCTGGGGCGAGCTGTCTAGGGCGGGTGTTGCAATCTATGATCTTGACTTTGATGCTATTCTTGCTGCCATGTATGCTGTGACTATTAGTGATGAGGGTGACTGTTACCGGTGTTTCCCGCCTGACCCAGGCATAGAGGCTGCTGCGCTAGGTACTTGTGAGGCTGCTGCTCTAGGTGCCAGTGCGTCTGCTGCCCCAGGTGCCGGTGAGTTTGCGCTCTCAGGTGCTGCGTCGCCCCCGGACACCCACACCTTCACCCTTGACTCGGGTGCTTCCCGCTCCTTCTTTCGAGACTGCACCACTCTCACACCGCTCAGTCGGCCTGTTGCGGTCTCCCTGGCGGACCCCTCTGGGGGTCCTGTCCTTGCTCACTACTCCACTGTCCTACCGTGTCCGGCGGTCCCGTCTGGCTCCCTGTCGGGTCTCTACCTCCCCTCGTTCTCTACGAACTTGGTGGCGGGTGCTGACCTCCAGGATGCAGGAGTTGACCAGTTCACCCCTGCGCGTCAGCGGGTGACCCACTGCACTTGTGCGGACACGGGCCGCCACTTGGCCACGTTTGCTCGTCGGCCAGGGTCGAGCCTGTACACACTGACTACTGAGTCTTCCCCAGTCACTGAGTCTGCTCAGGTAGCCGCGTCGGGTCAGGTGTTTGCTGCGGCGTCCAGGTCTGGTCCTGAGTCTGCCCCCTGCTCGTGTCGTCTCCTGTCTCACCGGACTCTCCTCTGGCACCACTGTCTCGGTCACCCCTCCCTGCCTCGCCTTCGAGGCATGGCTTCCCGTCTTCTTGTTTCTGGTCTCCCCCGGTCCCTCCCTCCTCTTCCTCCGGGGCCTGCCCCCACCTGCGTTCCCTGCGTCGAGGGGCGGCAGCGCGCTGCTCCTCACTCCTCCGAGTTTCCTCCGACAGAGGCTCCGCTGCAGACGCTTCACATGGACGTGTGGGGCCCAGCCCGCGTCCGTGGGCAGGGTCAGGAGCGCTACTTCCTGCTGGTGGTTGACGACTACTCGCGTTACACCGCAGTCTTCCCCTTGCGCAGCAAGGGTGACGTCACTGAGGTGTTGATCGCCTGGATCCGCGCGGCTCGTCTCCAGCTCCAGGAGAGTTTCGGCTCCGACTTTCCTGTTCGGCGTCTGCACTCCGACCGAGGCGGAGAGTTCTCCTCTGACCTTCTGCGGACCTTCTGTCGCACACGAGGCATCCGCCAGACCTTCACGCTTCCGGACTCTCCGCAGCAGAATGGGATTGCTGAGCGCCGCATCGGCATGGTCATGGACGTCGCTCGTACGTCCATGATCCATGCGGCTGCTCCCCATTTTCTGTGGCCGTTTGCGGTTCGGTACGCGGCGCATCAGCTCAACCTTCACCCCCGGGTCTCCATGCCGGAGACCTCCCCTGCTTTACTGTGGACGGGGAAGGTTGGTGATGCGTCGCGTTTCCGGGTCTGGGGATCTAGGGCGTTTGTCCGCGACTTGTCTGCGGACAAGCTGTCCTCTCGTGCTGTTCCCTGCGTCTTCCTTGGCTTTCCCCCTGACGCGCCAGGCTGGCAGTTCTACCACCCCACCTCGCGCCGTGTCTTCGCGTCCCAGGACGTCACCTTTGACGAGTCGGTTCCCTACTACCGTCTCTTCCCCTACCGCACTGCGTCCCTCCCTCCCCCGCCGCTCTTCCTTACACCAGGCCCCCCTCCGGTAGACCCCCTCCCCCCTCAGGGTCCTGCTCCCTCAGGTGTGTCCCAGGTAGATGCAGTTGAGCCAGTCGAGGTAGCTGTTGACTCTGGTACTGCTGGTGGTGCTGAGCCTGGGGGTGCTAGGTCTGGGGGTGCTTCGACTGGGGGTGCTGGGTCTGGGGGTGCTGCGACTGGGGGTGCTGAGCCTGGGGGTGCTGAGCCTGGGGGTGCTGAGCCTGGGGGTGCTGCGCCTGGGGGTGCTGCGCCTGGGGGTGCTGCGCCTGGGGGTGCTGAGCCTGGGGGTGCTGAGTCTCGGAGTGCGGAGCCTGAGAGTGCTGGACCTGCTCGTCCGGCGTCTGGTGGTGCTGAGCCTGGCGGTTCCTCCGGTGCTTCGTCCCGGCGGGAGCTGCTCTCTCCACAGGAGCTGCGTGAGTGGTTCGCCCGGCGCTGGCGACGTGCTGCAGGAGCTGGGGGTTCTACTGCTGCTGAGAGTGCTGGTGCCGAGGGTCCCAGAGGTGCTCGTACCGAGTGTACTGGAGCTGCTGACCCTACGAGTGCTCCTCCTGCTGGAGCTGGTGGTGCTGCTGGTGTTGCTGGCGCTGGAGCTGCTGGTGCTGCTGGAGCTGCTGGTGCTGCTGGTGCTGCTGGTGCTGCTGGTGCTGCTGGTGCTACTGGCGTTGGTGCTGCTGGAGCTCCTGGAGCTGGAGCTGCTGCGTCTTCGGGTGGTCCGGCTGGAGCTGGAGCTACTGGGGGTGTTGGCGCTGGGGGTGCTCCTGGCGCTGGTGCTGCTGGGGGTGCTGGAGTTGGAGCTGCTGGAGTTGCGGGTCTTCCTGGTGCTGGTGCTCCCGCTGGGGGCGCTGGTGCTGTTCCTGCTGGCACTGGTGGAGCTGCGCGGCCGCGGCCGTACTTCGTTCCGCTCCTTGAGCAGGTTCTTGGTCTTCCGTCCTCTCTTGGTCCTGCTCCTGCCTTAGAGTGTCCGCCTCCTGTCCAGTCTGAGTCACAGTTACAGCCACCTTCCCCGCTTCCTTCTCCTTCTCCCTACACTGGTCCTACTGGAGGTCTTGCTGAGCGTCGTGAGCCTGCGTCTCGCCCTGCGTCGCCTGTCCGTGCTGCTCGCACTAGTGGTCGTGGTTCGCGTCAGCGTCCTCCCCCTGTCCCCGGCACGCACCGGATGTCTCTGCGTCCTTCCACTGCTCCGCTGCGTGCCCCTTTGCCCTCTCCTCCAGCGTCCTCTCTTCCTGAGCTTCCTGACGCGAAGTCGGACTCCCTTCGTGCTGCGCGTCCTACTGTCACGCGTCTCCTTGCTACTGTCGTCACTGACCCTTCCTTTGAGTCTACTGCTGCGTCTGCCCTAGTTGCTGAGCTTGTCGACTTCGCTGCTCGCTGTCGCCTAGACTACGCTACCAGTCTCGTCGCTGAGTCTGAGTCTGTCTGTCCTCCGTCCGTCGGGGGTGAGTGTGCTCTTGGCACGGACGTCCTAGAGGACAGGCAGGAGGAGTTCCAGTGCTTGGCTGCTGTTTCACCTCATCTCGTGTCCATGCTGCTTGCCCCTGAGGGAGACCCGGATGCACTTGACATCCCGACTCCGCGCTCTTACGCGGAGGCGATAGAGAGTCCCTACTCCTCTCAGTGGCAGGCAGCCATGGACGCAGAGATGGCTTCCTGGAAGTCCACAGGCACCTACGTTGACGAGGTTCCCCCGCCTGGGGCGAACATCGTCAGTGGCATGTGGATTTTCAGGGTGAAGCGGCCGCCGGGTTCTCCGCTTGTCTTCAAGGCGCGTTACGTGGCTCGTGGTTTCAGTCAGCGGCAGGGAGTTGACTACTTTCAGACTTTCTCTCCCACCCCGAAGATGACCACTCTTCGGGTACTGCTGCACATAGCTGCTCACCGAGACTACGAGCTGCACTCTCTTGACTTCAGCACTGCTTTCTTGCAGGGCAGCCTTCACGAGGAGATCTGGCTGCGCCGCCCACCTGGCTTCACTGGGACGTTTCCTCCTGGCACCCAGTGGAGCCTCCGGCGGCCAGTCTACGGTCTCCGCCAGGCGCCTCGTGAGTGGCACAACACACTGAGGACTACACTTGCGGCCCTTGGGTTTGCTCCTTCTACTGCCGACCCGTCGCTGTTTCTGCGCACCGACACTTCTTTGCCGCCGTTCTACATCCTCGTGTACGTCGACGACTTGGTCTTTGCTACAGCTGACACTGCTGGACTTGCCTACGTGAAGTCCGAGCTGCAGAAGAGACACACGTGCACAGACCTGGGTGAGCTGCGCAGCTACCTTGGCTTGCAGATCACCAGGGACAGAGCACAGCGCACCATTACCCTGACTCAGTCACATATGGTGCAGCAGGTCCTTCAGCGCTTCGGCTTCACGTACTCCTCGCCTCAGGCCACTCCTCTGTCTACTCGTCACTCGCTCTCAGCTCTGCCTTCGGATGAGTCCGTAGAGTCGAGTGGCCCGTACCCAGAGCTTGTCGGCTGCCTCATGTACCTGATGACCTGCACTCGACCTGACCTTGCATACCCTCTTAGCATTCTGGCACGCTTTGTTGCTCCTGGGAGACACAGACCAGAGCACATGGCTGCAGCGAAGAGGGTGTTGCGCTACTTGTGCAGTACGTCGGGCATGGGGCTTGTGCTTGGAGGGCATAGTTCAGTGGTCCTCACTGGTCACGCAGACGCTTCTTGGGCTGACGACCAGGCTACGCAGTGGTCGTCACAGGGTTACACCTTCAGCCTTGGTTCCGGCTCTGTTTCTTGGCGGTCTACCCGCTCGTCTTCTGTTCTCGGCTCCAGTTGTGAGGCTGAGATCTACGCAGGGGCCATGGCTGCACAGGAGCTACGCTGGCTCACCTACCTGCTGACTGACCTGGGAGAGCCGCCTCGTTCTCCTCCAGTGCTGTACGTAGACAACAAGGCCATGCTGGCCTTGTGTCATGAGCACAGACTGGAGCACAGAACGAAGCACATCGCTCTCCGCTACTTTCTTGCTCGTGAGCTGCAGCAGCGTGGTCAGCTGCACCTTGCTTACGTGGCCTCTGAGGCCAACACTGCTGATATCTTCACTAAGGCACTCGCGCCTTGTGATCATCAGCGCTTCTGCACTCTGTTAGGTCTTGTACCTACCTTGCCTCACTTGCTTACTTCTTGACCTTGCTTGTACTGTTACATATATATATACCTGCCTGTTTAGCTTTATATATATGTGACCTTGCATGTGAACTGGCCTTGTGGCCTTGAATTTGTGCTCAGACTGTGTGGTGACGTTGTGATCCACCCTGAGCTTGCTTTGCCTTGCTTTGCTTGACTGGTCTTGTGACCCCTTGTTCTCCCCCACTTTGCCTATGGGGGTGTGTCAAACTTATACACTATAGTCTGTGTAGGCTGTAGTGGGGTAGCTCATATGGGGTACAACATTCTAGGGTTTGGTACTTGTACTCCTCATGCTGCTCAATGCATCCATTCTCGTTCCAATTTTCACAGATACAAGATAAACATTCACATACGGATGACAGTGCACGGACAGTTACTTACGCTGCTGTGTCTTCTGCGCACCTTAGTTTTCATGCGCACGGTGAGATTCCACCGCTTGCGGAACCGCTCCGTCCAGCGCTGACTACCCTTCCACTTCACTTCCGGGAACAACACCTTCGTCACCTCGCGTGACCACTCTTGCAGCCGGCCGACTGATACGGCCACACAGCGGCGTCGCCATTCCAGAGGTTGGGCGTACACCTTCCGCGGGTGCGTACCAGGAAGACCTTCCGCGCCCATGAAGTCGACACCGTGCGCTGTGTGCAGCCTTGAGCTCCTCTGCTTGGTTTTTCCACTCCGTGAGGCATTTGCGGTGTATGCCGGACTCCCGCAAGACCTCGCTTATCGATGCCGCAAGCTCCAGCCGAACGAGCCACTTCAATTTCTCCTGGGCGGTGTAGCGCTGCCGTTTATGTTGAGTCGGCTTATGCCTGGGAGAGGGGGGGCGGGCAACTCGGTTCTCAGAGGAGGGGTGGGGTCGTTTTTTGTTAATCGGCGGATACGTTGGTATCGGCATCTTCGCGCGTGGTGCGTCGCGCCACCAAGATTCCACACCGTCGTCGTCCGCGTCAGTTGGGTCACGATCTGGGAAACACGTCCTCCTCGGCGCCCTCTTCACCGTCGACTCCACCGTCGCATCCAGCGTCGCCGTCTCCGGTGGGTTGTTTATCGGCGGCCACGTTATCGTCGGCGCCCACAGCCGACTCGTCCCACGTGCAGGCTTCATGATTTCCCCACCGCGGTGCAGTCGGCCGAGCATCGATGTACACATCGGGGGCCTTGGGTGTGTCCGGTTCAGAGAGCCACTCGTCGAACGTGGCTGGCAAATACAGCTGGAGCACGGGCCGTTGATGAGAAGTCGCGTCAGGAACAGGAGGACTCGGAGGATTCAGAGGAGCGGGAGGAGCAGGACGAGAAGGAGGTGAAGGAGGTGTAGGAGGAGCAGTCGGAGCAGGTGGTGCAGGGGGTGCAGGTGGCGCTGGAGGCGTTGGTGGCTCACGGGTATACCACCCGTCCGCGGCAAGTCGCCATGGGCGAGGTGGTTTCTTCTTGAAAAGGAAGTGCGTCCCACTGAATTCCGCCATGGCTTCGCCAGCCAGGCGGGCTAGACTTGAAACTGAATGAAAAAAATGAGGAGGGTGCAGAAATGGGCAACGACGAGGACCCCTGCGGGTTGGCGGCTCGGGGTCCTCGTCAATGGCAGGCAGGAAACCCCCGCCTACCCCCGTAGAGGAACCTGCGTGGCAGCATATACGCTGCGCTGGCAGGGAATCTTTCCCACCCTTCGAAAATGTTCAGAAGAAATGCACATGCCACGCAGCGCATGCGGCTGTGATTGGGCCGCACGGTAACATTCCCGTCACTGCTGTCACGTTCGATGGTTCTAGACAAGATTGTGCGGTGGGAAACCGACCCGCGGCTGTTTTTGGCCGAAAACCATGCACGATCCCACATGTTGCATGGTCAGTTGGATTCACCTTATTGCGGGCTTCAATTTAGTATCTTTAAAAGTGAATTTCATTTTTTTCCTTATTATAGGCGCATGCGCTTATGCAGACACCTCAATTATAAGCGCACCCCCCTAAAAAACACTGATTTATTATAAGCGCACATGCGCTTTCATCCGGGGTAATACGGTAAGGTAATTCGTGAAAAGGGCCAGGGAAGGAAGTTACGGGTGCAGTGCAGATGTGGAAAGCAATCGGGTGCAAGGTCTGGACTGGATCAACCTCTTAGTAGTACCGTCATACCCCGGATAGAAGCGCCCCTGGGGTTGTAATAAAACACTGTTTTTTAGGGGGTGCGCTTATAATTGAGGAAATATATAAGCGTCGGCGTCTATAAAATGGCAAAAGTGAAATGTATTATTTTTTACATGTAATTGAAGCTTTTTCAAAAGGGATTCAATCCACATCCAGAATGTTCGTAAGCGTGCATGAATTGCGCGTCAAATGGCCAACAAGGCGTGGAATCACGCCCGCCACGCCTTGCTGGCCTGGCCAGATTGATCGTACATGAATCTGGCCCATGCTAGCGCACACGCTGTATAGTGTGCGACTGCCCAATCAGGGTCGCCTGCTGTGCCAGGCACGACGCTGTACAACCACGAAATGGGCATATGCGGCAATATTTCTTGCCACCAAGGCTTGGACCTCACCACATCAGCTCCTCTGCGGGGAGATCTTGACAGTTTCCCCCATTTCCTTGCAGAGGAACCCGGGCCGCGAAGTTGAAGGGGTCTCGGGCGAGGGTTTCAAACAGGTGTCATTCTCATCGGTTTGTTCAGATTTCTTGTTTTCCCTCGGCCTGCCTAGGCCATGGCGGGCCTTCCAGGCACCCATTTCCTCTTTAGCCGCCGAGGTGCTGCTGCCAAAACTCCCGATTATTCCAATTGGCAGAGTCGCCCAGCTCCCATACCTCCTGCTCCTCCTGCGCCTCCTGCTCCTCCTGCGCCTCCTGCTCCTCCCGCTCCGCCTAACGTCGTCATCAACGGTGTGTCTGTTCTGCAGCTACTCCCTCGCGGCTACTCTGCTTTCGACGCGTACGTCTCCGAGCCCAAGCCCGAGCGCAGCGATGACGATGAAACCGGCCCCGGTCTGTCGCCACACTAGGGAGACCCGGAAGACTGCCCGTACGACGAATCCGCCACTGGTGCCGAAGACGACGTTGAGTGGTGGGCGGCCGACGGTCTTCCCGAGGACTTTCCTGTCCCTAGTTTTCCCCCGCCGAATAAAAAACGGCCCCACCCCTCCAAAGCGAATCGTGATGCCCGCCCCCCGTCTCCCAGGAGCAGGCTTTCGAAGCACAAACGGAACTCCTACACTTCTCAGGAGAAGCTGCAGTGGGTTGCACAGCTGGAGTCCGGAGCTGTGAGTGTGTTGAAAATGGCGCGCGACACTGGTATCTCCCGAAAATCCCTGGCAGACTGGAAGTCGCGGAAGGGTGAGCTCGAGGGCGCGCATGGGGCTCGCAAGCGCCTTCACGGGCGTGGTCGGAAAACGTGGTACCGCGACATGGAGCTCCAGGTGTACTCCCGTGTTCTTGCCAACCGGAAAAAGTGTCTCGCCGTGTCGATCGGCCGACTGCAGCAGTGGTCACGAGAGGTGATGAAGGCCCTGCATCCTGAGGTTAAGTGGGCTGGATCTCAGAGGTGGACTGAGCGTTTTCGACGACGCTGGAATCTCACCACACGAGCGAAGACCCGTATCGGCCAGAAGCTGTCCTCTGGTGAGTCTATGTTTTTGTTGTTGCAAAAGTTTTATCTCTTTTGCTAATGTTCCTTGTTTTGCTAATGTGTTTTTTTTTTTTTCGTTTCTGTCTCCCATCCATCCCTTTCAGAGTGCGAGACGCAGGTGCGGAACTTCTGGAAGTTCGTGCGACACACCCGCCGACAGTACGCCATCGACAACCGCTGGATTATTAATGCGGATCAAACGCCACTGTGGCTCGAGATGCCAGCTGAACGTACGGCCGAGGAGGTGGGGATCCGCTCCGTGCCCATCCGTAGCAGCGGCTATAAAAAAGAACGCGTGACGGTGATGCTCGCCTGCACTGCCAGCGGCGAGAAGCTCAAGCCTTGGGTGTTCTTCAAACGCAAGACTGTTCCCAAGGGGAACTTCCCCTCCGGTAAGCCGAGCAACTTGTGCGGTCACGCTTTAATTTGCATGTGTTGTTTGTTTTTACCTGATGCCATTCTCAACATTCGTCTTGTGCGGATGTGCAGATGTCGTTGTCGCCGCACATCCCTGTCAAACTTATACACTATAGTCTGTGTAGGCTGTAGTGGGGTAGCTCATATGGGGTACAACATTCTAGGGTTTGGTACTTGTACTCCTCATGCTGCTCAATGCATCCATTCTCGTTCCAATTTTCACATGGTATAGAGCAGGTTCCCTCGTGGGAACTGTTCCTAGGGCCCACCGTAAGATTTTTTTTTCCTGCCCGGAGCGCGCTCCGCCCCTGCCCGAGTCGCGCTCCCCTCCCCTCGCTTCCCTTAGCGGCCCCGTCGCGCCGCGCTTCCGGCCCCGGCGCCGCCTCTGCTGGCCCCGGCGCCCCACCGTCGCGACCCCGCGGCCCCACCCTTGCGTCGCCCTGCGCGGCGTCGTTGCAGTCGCCCGCGACCCCGACGCCGCCCGTCGCGACCCCGTCGCCCTTCGCGCCGCCCGCGACCTCGTCGCCGCAGCCGCCTGCGACCCTACCGCTGCAGCTGCCCGCGACCCTGTCACCGCAGCCGCCCGCGACCCTGCCGTCGCCGCCACCCGCGACCCTGCTGTCTCAGCCGCCCGCGACCCTACCGTCGCCGCCGCCCGCGACCCTGCAGTCGCAGCCGCCTGCGACCTCGTCGCCGCGGCCGCCTGCCCTCCCGTCGCCACAGCCGCGCGCGACTCCTGTAGTCGCAGCCGCCCGCGACCCCCCGTCGCCCCACCCGTGCGACCCCACCGCCGCCCTTTGCGGCCCCTTCGCCATACCTTCGCGGCCCCGCCGAGCAGCCGCGCCGCCGAGACGCCGCCGCCGCCGAGCCGCCGAGCCGTCGAGCCGCCGAGCCGCCGAGCCGTCGTTGCCGCCGAGTTGCCGAGCCGTCGAGCCGCCACTGCCGCCGTGCTGCCGAGCCGCCGAGACGCCGGTGCCGACGAGCTGCCGAGCCGCTGAGCCGCCGAGCCGCCGTTCCTGCCGTCCCGGCCCTGTTCCTGCCGACGCGCCTCGGTCCTTCTCGCCTGCCCGGTAAGAGCAGCGCCTCCACCACTGCACTGCCCTTAGCCTGCTGCTCTCACTGCTAGTCTACTGCTGTCATGGCTTCCCCCAGTGTCCTCACCTTTGACGCTGAGGGTCGGGCCATTGACTTTGACGTCTGGGTAGATGACCTGCAGCTTTTCCTACTGAGCGACAGAGCAGACGGCCTCTCCCTTTTTGACCTCACCTCTGGTGCCTCTCCTGCCCCTGCTGCTGATGCTGACCCCACTGTTCGCTCCCAGTGGGCCACACGCGATGCTGCTGCCCGCCTTGCTGTGCGCCGCCACTTGCCGACCTCTGAGCGTGCGCACTTTAGCCAGTACAAGAGTGCTAAGACCTTGTACGACGCTGTAGTTGCGCGCTACTCTTCCCCTGCCACTGCTGCGCTTAGCCGCCTTATCCTACCGTACCTCTTCCCTGACCTCGCAGCTATTCCCACTGTCGCTGACCTCATTACGCACCTTCGCACTAGTGACACTCGCTACCGCGCTGCGCTTCCTGCTGAGTTCTGCGCCAAGAACCCCCCCCCCATGTACATCACCCTCTACTACATAGTCACCCGGCTCCCTGACACCCTTCGCCCGGTTAGGGACCACTTCCTCTCTGTTTGCCCCACCACCCTCACCGTTGACCTCCTCGAGGAGCGCCTGCTCGCGGCAGAGAAGAGCATAGTCGCAGTAGGTGCCTCTCGTGGTGACCCTCGTACCCCTGTCTTTGAGGGGTGCTCCCCCTCTCCCCTCTTGCCCTCTGTTGCCTCTGCTGCTGCGGCCGACCTCGTTGGTCTTGAGTCGGTCGCTGCGGCGTCTGCCCCTAGCGGGAGACGCCGCCCTGGCAAGGGCAAGGGGGGCAAGGGTGCTGGAGGAGCTGGAGGGGGCGGTGGAGGCGGAGGTGGAGGTGGTGGAGGGGGTGGGGGTGGCGGTGGGGGTGGTGGCGGGGGTGGGGGCGTCGGTGGCGGGACTGGAGGTGGAGGTGGAGGCGGCGGTGGCGGTGGGAGCGGAGGTGGCGGAGGTGGCGGTAGTGGAGGAGGTAGCGGCGGAGGCGGCGGAGCTGGTCGGGGTGGCGCTGCGCAGAGGGGTGGCTCCGGTGGTGGTGCGCGCCAGCAGCAGCAGCAGCAGCGTACCCGTGAGACCCCTTCCCCCCAGCAGCTTCGTGAGTGGTACGCTGCTCGTCAGCGGGGTGGGGGTGCTGGCCCCTGCACCTACGTTCTCCGTACCGGCGACCGGGCGGGTGAGCAGTGTGGAGGCCCGCACCCCACCCAGCGCTGCTTCGGTCGGCTGACAGACGCGTGGCGCCACCAGTTCCCCGACGCTACGGAGATCCCTCGCTGGGGCGAGCTGTCTAGGGCGGGTGTTGCAATCTATGATCTTGACTTTGATGCTATTCTTGCTGCCATGTATGCTGTGACTATTAGTGATGAGGGTGACTGTTACCGGTGTTTCCCGCCTGACCCAGGCATAGAGGCTGCTGCGCTAGGTACTTGTGAGGCTGCTGCTCTAGGTGCCAGTGCGTCTGCTGCCCCAGGTGCCGGTGAGTTTGCGCTCTCAGGTGCTGCGTCGCCCCCGGACACCCACACCTTCACCCTTGACTCGGGTGCTTCCCGCTCCTTCTTTCGAGACTGCACCACTCTCACACCGCTCAGTCGGCCTGTTGCGGTCTCCCTGGCGGACCCCTCTGGGGGTCCTGTCCTTGCTCACTACTCCACTGTCCTACCGTGTCCGGCGGTCCCGTCTGGCTCCCTGTCGGGTCTCCCCTCGTTCTCTACGAACTTGGTGGCGGGTGCTGACCTCCAGGATGCAGGAGTTGACCAGTTCACCCCTGCGCGTCAGCGGGTGACCCACTGCACTTGTGCGGACACGGGCCGCCACTTGGCCACGTTTGCTCGTCGGCCAGGGTCGAGCCTGTACACACTGACTACTGAGTCTTCCCCAGTCACTGAGTCTGCTCAGGTAGCCGCGTCGGGTCAGGTGTTTGCTGCGGCGTCCAGGTCTGGTCCTGAGTCTGCCCCCTGCTCGTGTCGTCTCCTGTCTCACCGGACTCTCCTCTGGCACCACTGTCTCGGTCACCCCTCCCTGCCTCGCCTTCGAGGCATGGCTTCCCGTCTTCTTGTTTCTGGTCTCCCCCGGTCCCTCCCTCCTCTTCCTCCGGGGCCTGCCCCCACCTGCGTTCCCTGCGTCGAGGGGCGGCAGCGCGCTGCTCCTCACTCCTCCGAGTTTCCTCCGACAGAGGCTCCGCTGCAGACGCTTCACATGGACGTGTGGGGCCCAGCCCGCGTCCGTGGGCAGGGTCAGGAGCGCTACTTCCTGCTGGTGGTTGACGACTACTCGCGTTACACCGCAGTCTTCCCCTTGCGCAGCAAGGGTGACGTCACTGAGGTGTTGATCGCCTGGATCCGCGCGGCTCGTCTCCAGCTCCAGGAGAGTTTCGGCTCCGACTTTCCTGTTCGGCGTCTGCACTCCGACCGAGGCGGAGAGTTCTCCTCTGACCTTCTGCGGACCTTCTGTCGCACACGAGGCATCCGCCAGACCTTCACGCTTCCGGACTCTCCGCAGCAGAATGGGATTGCTGAGCGCCGCATCGGCATGGTCATGGACGTCGCTCGTACGTCCATGATCCATGCGGCTGCTCCCCATTTTCTGTGGCCGTTTGCGGTTCGGTACGCGGCGCATCAGCTCAACCTTCACCCCCGGGTCTCCATGCCGGAGACCTCCCCTGCTTTACTGTGGACGGGGAAGGTTGGTGATGCGTCGCGTTTCCGGGTCTGGGGATCTAGGGCGTTTGTCCGCGACTTGTCTGCGGACAAGCTGTCCTCTCGTGCTGTTCCCTGCGTCTTCCTTGGCTTTCCCCCTGACGCGCCAGGCTGGCAGTTCTACCACCCCACCTCGCGCCGTGTCTTCGCGTCCCAGGACGTCACCTTTGACGAGTCGGTTCCCTACTACCGTCTCTTCCCCTACCGCACTGCGTCCCTCCCTCCCCCGCCGCTCTTCCTTACACCAGGCCCCCCTCCGGTAGACCCCCTCCCCCCTCAGGGTCCTGCTCCCTCAGGTGTGTCCCAGGTAGATGCAGTTGAGCCAGTCGAGGTAGCTGTTGACTCTGGTGCTGCTGGTGGTGCTGAGCCTGGGGGTGCTGGGTCTGGGGGTGCTGCGACTGGGGGTGCTGGGTCTGGGGGTGCTGCGACTGGGGGTGCTGAGCCTGGGGGTGCTGAGCCTGGGGGTGCTGAGCCTGGGGGTGCTGCGCCTGGGGGTGCTGCGCCTGGGGGTGCTGCGCCTGGGGGTGCTGAGCCTGGGGGTGCTGAGTCTCGGAGTGCGGAGCCTGAGGGTGCTGGACCTGCTCGTCCGGCGTCTGGTGGTGCTGAGCCTGGCGGTTCCTCCGGTGCTTCGTCCCGGCGGGAGCTGCTCTCTCCACAGGAGCTGCGTGAGTGGTTCGCCCGGCGCTGGCGACGTGCTGCAGGAGCTGGGGGTTCTACTGCTGCTGAGAGTGCTGGTGCCGAGGGTCCCAGAGGTGCTCGTACCGAGTGTACTGGAGCTGCTGACCCTACGAGTGCTCCTCCTGCTGGAGCTGGTGGTGCTGCTGGTGCTGCTGGCGCTGGAGCTGCTGGTGCTGCTGGAGCTGCTGGTGCTGCTGGTGCTGCTGGTGCTGCTGGTGCTGCTGGGGGTGCTGGAGTTGGAGCTGCTGGAGTTGCGGGTCTTCCTGGTGCTGGTGCTCCCGCTGGGGGCGCTGGTGCTGTTCCTGCTGGCACTGGTGGAGCTGCGCGGCCGCGGCCGTACTTCGTTCCGCTCCTTGAGCAGGTTCTTGGTCTTCCGTCCTCTCTTGGTCCTGCTCCTGCCTTAGAGTGTCCGCCTCCTGTCCAGTCTGAGTCACAGTTACAGCCACCTTCCCCGCTTCCTTCTCCTTCTCCCTACACTGGTCCTACTGGAGGTCTTGCTGAGCGTCGTGAGCCTGCGTCTCGCCCTGCGTCGCCTGTCCGTGCTGCTCGCACTAGTGGTCGTGGTTCGCGTCAGCGTCCTCCCCCTGTCCCCGGCACGCACCGGATGTCTCTGCGTCCTTCCACTGCTCCGCTGCGTGCCCCTTTGCCCTCTCCTCCAGCGTCCTCTCTTCCTGAGCTTCCTGACCCGGAGTCGGACTCCCTTCGTGCTGCGCGTCCTACTGTCACGCGTCTCCTTGCTACTGTCGTCACTGACCCTTCCTTTGAGTCTACTGCTGCGTCTGCCCTAGTTGCTGAGCTTGTCGACTTCGCTGCTCGCTGTCGCCTAGACTACGCTACCAGTCTCGTCGCTGAGTCTGAGTCTGTCTGTCCTCCGTCCGTCGGGGGTGAGTGTGCTCTTGGCACGGACGTCCTAGAGGACAGGCAAGAGGAGTTCCAGTGCTTGGCTGCTGTTTCACCTCATCTCGTGTCCATGCTGCTTGCCCCTGAGGGAGACCCGGATGCACTTGACATCCCGACTCCGCGCTCTTACGCGGAGGCGATAGAGGGTCCCTACTCCTCTTAGTGGCAGGCAGCCATGGACGCAGAGATGGCTTCCTGGAAGTCCACAGGCACCTACGTTGACGAGGTTCCCCCGCCTGGGGCGAACATCGTCAGTGGCATGTGGATTTTCAGGGTGAAGCGGCCGCCGGGTTCTCCGCTTGTCTTCAAGGCGCGTTACGTGGCTCGTGGTTTCAGTCAGCGGCAGGGAGTTGACTACTTTCAGACTTTCTCCCCCACCCCGAAGATGACCACTCTTCGGGTACTGCTGCACATAGCTGCTCACCGAGACTACGAGCTGCACTCTCTTGACTTCAGCACTGCTTTCTTGCAGGGCAGCCTTCACGAGGAGATCTGGCTGCGCCGCCCACCTGGCTTCACTGGGACGTTTCCTCCTGGCACCCAGTGGAGCCTCCGCCGGCCAGTCTACGGTCTCCGCCAGGCGCCTCGTGAGTGGCACGACACACTGAGGACTACACTTGCGGCCCTTGGGTTTGCTCCTTCTACTGCCGACCCGTCGCTGTTTCTGCGCACCGACACTTCTTTGCCGCCGTTCTACATCCTCGTGTACGTCGACGACTTGGTCTTTGCTACAGCTGACACTGCTGGACTTGCCTACGTGAAGTCCGAGCTGCAGAAGAGACACACGTGCACAGACCTGGGTGAACTGCGCAGCTACCTTGGCTTGCAGATCACCCGGGACAGAGCACAGCGCACCATTACCCTGACTCAGTCACACATGGTGCAGCAGGTCCTTCAGCGCTTCGGCTTCACGTACTCCTCGCCTCAGGCCACTCCTCTGCCTACGCGCCACTCGCTCTCAGCTCTGCCTTCGGATGAGTCCGTAGAGTCGAGTGGCCCGTACCCAGAGCTTGTCGGCTGCCTCATGTACCTGATGACTTGCACTCGACCTGACCTTGCATACCCTCTTAGCATTCTGGCACGCTTTGTTGCTCCTGGGAGACACAGACCAGAGCACATGGCTGCAGCGAAGAGGGTGTTGCGCTACTTGTGCAGTACGTCGGGCATGGGGCTTGTGCTTGGAGGGCATAGTTCAGTGGTCCTCACTGGTCACGCAGACGCTTCTTGGGCTGACGACCAGGCTACGCAGCGGTCGTCACAGGGTTACACCTTTAGCCTTGGTTCCGGCTCTGTTTCTTGGCGGTCTACCCGCTCGTCTTCTGTTCTCGGCTCCAGTTGTGAGGCTGAGATCTACGCAGGGGCCATGGCTGCACAGGAGCTACGCTGGCTCACCTACCTGCTGACTGACCTGGGAGAGCCGCCTCGTTCTCCTCCAGTGCTGTACGTAGACAACAAGGCCATGCTGGCCTTGTGTCATGAGCACAGACTGGAGCACAGAACGAAGCACATCGCTCTCCGCTACTTTCTTGCTCGTGAGCTGCAGCAGCGTGGTCAGCTGCGCCTTGCTTACGTGGCCTCTGAGGCCAACACTGCTGATATCTTCACTAAGGCACTCGCGCCTTGTGATCATCAGCGCTTCTGCACTCTGTTAGGTCTTGTACCTACCTTGCCTCACTTGCTTACTTCTTGACCTTGCTTGTACTGTTACATATATATATACCTGCCTGTTTAGCTTTATATATATGTGACCTTGCATGTGAACTGGCCTTGTGGCCTTGAATTTGTGCTCAGACTGTGTGGTGACGTTGTGATCCACCCTGAGCTTGCTTTGCCTTGCTTTGCTTGACTGGTCTTGTGACCCCTTGTTCTCCCCCACTTTGCCTATGGGGGTGTGTCAAACTTATACACTATAGTCTGTGTAGGCTGTAGTGGGGTAGCTCATATGGGGTACAACATTCTAGGGTTTGGTACTTGTACTCCTCATGCTGCTCAATGCATCCATTCTCGTTCCAATTTTCACAATCCCAACGGTTGGATGGACGCGGACGGCGTCCTCGCGTGGCTCGACGGAACGGTGAGCCCGTACGTCAACCCGAGGTTCGGAGTGCGCAGCAGGAAGGCGATGCTGGTGCTTGACTCCTACCGCGGGCACCTGACTGAACATGTGAGGGCGAAATTCGGCGAGCTGAACATCGTCCCCGCCATCATTCCAGCAGGCTGCACATCGGAGATCCAGCCCCTGGACGTCGCGGTGAACCGCTCCTTCAAAGCAGCTGTGCGACAACTGTACCAGGAGTGGTTCGAGAGCGCGGGCGTCGACTGCCTGACCGAAAGAGGTGAGATGTACTCCAAGTGTGGGAATGGTTTTTAATGTTCCGACCCTGTTCTGACTGCTGTTATTTTTACATGTGTGGCAGGCAACATCCGCAAGCCACCACCCGAGCTAACGCTCAAGTGGATCTTCAAGGCCTTGAAGGCGGTTCCGAAAGAGTTGATTGAGCATGCATTTCTCACCTGTGGCATCAGCAACGCCTTGGACGGGTCCCAGGACAACCTCTGCTTGCAGCACCGGCGGGACGCCGTCAAGGGCGAAGTGGAACTTGACGACGAGATTGCAGCAGATGGATTCTGCTGCAACAACGTAGACGAGCCAGAGTCGGACTGTGAGACTGTCCAGGATGACACCACCACTGTTGAGGGCGATGCCTAGGATGTGTAGGGAGTAGAATCTGTAAATGTTTGAATATCGAGTTAAGCTTGGATTTAGTAGATTATGTAGTGAAAATGTAGAAATCCATTAGGATAGCACTTGTAACGACATAATATAGAAAAAAAAGAATTTTAACAGCTGGCGCTTATAAAGTGTAATCTAGGAGGGTGCGCTTATAATCTGTAAGGCTCCAAGGGGTGCTCTTATAATCGAGGACCGGATAAAAGCGCCGCCACCCTTTTATAAGCGCCGGCGCTTATCCGAGGCCTGCGCTTCTATCCGGGGTATGACAGTATTCATGAGGGTGGTTTTGGTTTTGAAGCTGTCCTGCAGCTCACGCAAGCCACAGTGCCTCTGTTTTCTCAAATAATGCCCCATTGGGAAGTTGAATTTATGAATAATGATCGACCTGGCTCAATTTAATGAGGTGCATGTGAAACCATATTAAGCTTGCTCATTTTCCGTAAATCGCCTATCACAGGGAATACATATCGAACCGATTATCGGGGAGGTTCATAACGCATTTCAGCTGATCACAGCCCAGCCCGCCTGTCACGATTTTGATCTCACCCCACTGATCTGGTCTCCCAAGCTCAACAACATTAGGACGCGGCACCTGTTTCCCAGGAGGCACGATCGATCCTGGTTGGGGATCGATGTGCCATGTGTACAGTGTACTGGCGACATCGCGCATACCTGGTTTCCTGCTTTCGCTAAATCGCCAATATATACAGTAAACACAAGTGATGAAGTGGTGGCACCCGCAGCTCGCACGATCGATGTGCCTGTGGGCACACATCGATCTTGGTCTGAGCAGGCGGGATAGTACATCGCGCCACAGGTGACAACCAAGATCGTTCGGCGTCGCCCTGAGTCGCAGGCTGAAACTGAATGAGTCGCTGCGACTACCAACGAACATTCTTTGTGCTAGGGAATATGGGCGTGCTTGCACATCGGGAAGGTGGTTTGATTTGATTGGGGCCCAAGTCGCCCAGGCCGTGCTGTGCGACGACCAAGGTGTTCTGTGATTGGATGGATTTTCAGTGTGTTGTAAATTACAGCAACGCACTTGCTAGGCCAATCCTGCATTGTCGACCCTGGCACTTGAGGCTCGAAGTGTGTATCACACTTCAATTTTGCAGTGTGGGCACTCGATGTGCCAGGGTCGGTGTGACTGCCCGATCCTTCCCCGATCCTGGAAAAACACAAACAGGTGCCGCGTCCTTACTTCTCACCAGGTGATTTCTTCACTAGCTAATCTCCTCGCTGTCTAACCTTTCCTAACTTCCTCCCATTCAAGCCCGTGTCGGTCTTGTGTCTGCGCAGGGCTTGCTATCCCGTAGCTGAGGTTCGACTCCGCTAGTATCTCAAGTGCGGAGTGTTATCAACGACTTATTAGCAGCTAAATTGTGTACAATCCCGTCTGGATCAATGGTGCAGCTGTGGTGGGCTGTAGCAGCAGCCGCAGTGCCAGTCGTCTTCATCCGAAACCTCGTGCGAAATCGCGACGGCGACTCCGATTCGCGAAACAACGCGTCGTCGTCGCGGCGAAAAGGCGGCAAGCGCGGCGGCGTCGCCGTCGCAGACGACGCGTCCGTCGGCGGCGACTCGTTCGTGTGCGAGCGCGTGTGCGCGTCGCGAAGGCTCTTAAATCGAATGGGACCGTTCTCCAAGGACCCGACGCCGAACACGTGTGTGACTGTATGCGGAGTGTCTGACGTGGACTCGTGCACGGAGGCGTGTCGGCGCGTGGTGTGCGTGAACCCACACCACGTGCCCAACTGGAACGACAGCTGCATGCGCCGCTGCCAGGACGAGTGCCTCCGTGGCCTCGCGCGCTAATCATGGTCTCGGGCGGATCGGGAGATTAGACGGTCAGGGCAATGGGGATCTGGGCGTTGGGGGAGTAGACGAGCCATTTAGAGGCGTGGTGCGGTGTTTAGACGATGGCGGATCACAGCACGGATTCGGGGAGTGGCGGAATTGGGAGTGGAGGCGTGTGGGCGCGTGGTGTGGGCGTTGCGGGAGTAGACGAGCCATTTAGAGGCGTGGTGTGCGTGAACCCGCACCACGTGCCCAACTGGAACGACAGCTGCATGCGCCGCTGCCAGGACAAGTGCCTCCGCGGCCTCGCGCGCTGACTGGAGCAGTGGGCTGATTGGTCGATCGCGCTGATTGGACGAGGTCGCTGACTGGACGAGTGCGCTGGACAAGTTCCCCTGCGGCCTTGCACGCTAATTGGGATGTGCGGTGCAATTGAGACTACGCCATGAAGAATAGACTGTGGCGCGCAACGAGGGGTTTCAGTGCTAGGCTGTCTGGGAAGGTCAATCAGTCAGTGTGTGTTGATCAGGCATGTGTTGCCGAAGTGTGGAGGATGGACGGTATGATGGTGAGCAGCCAATCAGAGAGGCGCAGCAGCAGCAGCAGCAGTGTAGAGATTAGGTTTAGGGGATTCAAGTGCAATATAGAGGGATGATAGGAGCATGGATTCGGTGAGGAAACACGTGGCAGCAGCAGCGGACGAAAGGGCATGATTCAACAGCATCCTGCCGCATGCCTCATGTGCAACAATTCATCTCTATACCTAGACTCTTGTCATGTCAGTACTGTGTTGGGGGGAAATCAGCTTAAAGCAGAGATGAATGGAGGGAGGGAGGGAGGAAGGCTTTGTATCCCTACCCAACACTTCTTCAGGCATGATTATTTGAAGGATGACATGCCATGTCAGATAAGGTAGGTTCCTTCGTCTATCTAAGAAGTCAGGAGCAGTAATTTCGGTTCTGACATTACTGGTACAATAGTTGATTAGGGTAGGTGATGTGTCTGGACTGAACCTAGGTGGATGGTGGGAATGGTGCATGGCTGAAGATAATTGGCCAGTTGGTTCTCTCATGTCAGATTTTCTGGCATAGTTGGGTTCACTTCACACAAATACGGTAAGATATGAACCGGAAGCAAATAGGGGTGCATTCCTGTATCGACACAAGTGTCTCAGTGTCGTCATAAAACCAATGTACCGTTTTAAACCGCATTACACCTAAGATTCAAATGATTCCACCGCACTGTATCTCGTCATTTGAGACGCGCTCTTTTGTGACGCGCTTCAGGAATGGGCCCTAATTCTGAAAGTGTGATCAAAGCAGAACACTCATTACCGTATGAAACACGAGTTCAACCGCACTGACCAATCAGCGAAGACACCCACACTGCAGCCCAAACTTCAAACCAAGGGGTGAAGTTACGACGCGGCGCCAAGTCAGCTTTCCTGGCAGCGTCACGGCGCAGTCAGCAGTGCCAAGACGTTACTTTTCCGTCTTCACAGCGCCTCTCGCACAGCATTTCCTACAAAACTCGTTGGAAGAGTTGTAAAATCGCTTGAAGAAAAGCGAGGTTCCATAAGTGCGGTAGCATGGCGGTCGTTCCGCTGTTTTCGACGAGCGCGCGTCTCATTCCTTCATCCTCGCACCCAGCACCTGCCCGCTACCTCTCACCCGCTCCCAACAACTCTCTCCGTCACCATCTTGCTGTCCCTATCTGCCTCTCGCCCACAAGCAAGAACATTCTCTTGCAAGTAGGAGATCGAGGAAGAAACCCATATTTGGTTCGCTTTAGGTCTCTTTCTCAGCCTAACTCCTTCGCTCGTGCGCCAAATGCGCTAGATCTTATTTTTCGCCGTTCGCGACTCGTGGCCGTTCAATCTAGGACGTTCGACGAGCCGCGGGAGAGGTCCGCTGGAAGATTGGAAAAAGAGAGGGGGGAAGATGTATGGAGGGAGGAGGAGGAGGAGGATGGATGGGGTGAGGAGAGAACGAAAGGGGGATGGCGGGAGCGGAAGGAGAGGGAAAGATCGGCGGAAAGTTGGGGGGAGCGATTGGCAGAATGGGCTGGGGGGGAAGGCGAGGGCGGGGGGTCCGGGGAGAGATCTGCGGAGAGATGGGGGGAGCGGAGGGGTGCAGGGAACGGGAGGGGCGCGCGGGGAGGACGAGGGGGGCGGACCGAGAGGGGTGGGCGCGGGGACATGGGACAGGGTTCAGGGTTTAGCCGTTATGGAGCGGATCGGTTTGAGGAGGGGCGCGGAGGGTTTGAGGGGAGACGGGGGAGGGAGGGGGAAGGGGGGAGAGCGGAGTGGCAAGGGGAAGCAAGGGGGGACGGCGGATGGGGGAAGGGCGGAATGGGGGGCAGCGGAGAGGGTTCTGGGTTAGGGTCTAGGTTTGGTGGTAGGCGTTTGCGAGAGAAGGTTTCCAGGCGAAAGCACACGGAGCTCGCGATAGATCCCGCGCTGGTTACCAGCATTGGTGAAGAGGCGGACGGGGGGGAGGAGGGGGGAACAGGTGGGTGGAACGAGGGGGTAAAGGAGGGATCTGGGGAAGCGCGAGAAGGGGGAGGAGAAATGAGGCAGGGGGAAGGCGGAGGTGACTATAGACGGCGTGATGGTAGGGAGATTGGGGGAAGGGGCGGAGGGGGAAGCGGAAGGGCGCTGGCGGGTGGGAGAGGGGGAAGGGACGCGCAGAGAGGGGGCGGTGATGCGGATGAGTGGATTGAGGACGGGGGGGACTGGCGGGTGACGGAGCGGGAGAATGACGACTGGGAGGACGACAGGGGCGCGAGGGGGGGCGGGGAAAGGGCAAGGGGGGGCGGAGGGGGCGCGAGGGGGAGTGGGAGTGGCGGATGGGGAAGAGGAGGGCGCAATGGCGGAGAAAAGATGGGGGTTTACGAGCAGTGGAGCAAGGGGATGAGCAAGCGCAGGGCAAAGGTTGTGGGGGGGCGGGGGGAGGGAGAGGGGGGCATGGGGGAAGGAGGGGAGGAGGGGAAGGCGGGGAGAGAGGGGAAGGAAGGGAAAGAGGGGAGGGTAGTGTACGAGGGGAGGGAGGGCTCGGGGGAAGAAGAAGGGAATTCTGACGAGGAGGGGGGACGACGGTGGTGGCAGCGGGGGGATAAGTATGTTCGGGGGGAGAGGAATTTGAGGGAGGGGGGGGATGTGGTGGCGGAGGGGAATGTGAAGGGGGAGAGGGATGCGCGGGGGGGGAGGAGTGAGGGTAGGGGGGGCAACGAGGAGGAGAGGATGTATAAGGGGAGGGATTATAAGGAGGGGGATTATGGGAGGAGGGAGTTCAGTGAGAGATTGCAAGAGGAGAGGGGCTATGATAGGAGAAGCGGGTACAGCGGCAGAGGGAGGTACGAGGGGGAGGGGCGCATGGAAAGGGATGTAGGCATGGGCGGAAGGGGAGGCAGGTGGGGGGAAAGGAGAGATGGGGAGGAGAGGGTCGGTTATGACGGTAGGAGCAAGTATGTGAGGGAAGGAGGCGAGCCAAGAGGCATGGGCGCTGGCAGAAGGGAGGGTATGGGTGGGGGAAGGGGAGCGGAGGGAGGTAGAGGGGCAAGATGGGAGAAGGAAGGCGGTATGAGCGCGAGAGGCACTCGAAATTATGCTAAATGGGAGGCGGAAGGAGGGGAGGGTGAGGAGGAGGGCGAGGAGGAGGGTGGTGGTGAGGAGGGGAGGCAAAGGAGCGGAGGGAGTCGCCGTATTGGTGGAAGGGGCACATCACTAGTAGCATCAGCATCAGCATCAGCATCAGCATCAGCATCTTCAGAATCAGCAGTATCAACTGTACCTGCTGCTGCTCTTGAAGAGCCCACTTTGGACTGCAAGCACTTTACAAAGTAAGTGCTGAGCGTGTGTGCTCTTGTGCTAGCTAGGGTACGTTATCAAGCACTCACAGGCCATCATCAGCTTCACCTCACCACCTGCTGCTGTTCTTGAGGAGCCCACTTTGAACTGCGAGCACTTCACAAAGTAAGGGGCTTCTGTGCTTTCATACTCCCTCCCCACCTCCCACACCCGCATACGTTTATGCACCCATTCATACATGCATGCATACATGCTTTTGAGTTGACTCAAAAGCGGGACCCACTTTGAACTGCGAGCACTTCACAAAGTAAGGAGCTTCAATGCTTTCATGCTCCTTCCCCACCTCCCATACCCGCATACATCTATGCACCCATTCATACATGGCTTCCCTCCCATACGCCTGCTCTGTCTCCCACCAACCCGACGCTATGTCTCCCTCCCCTTTCATAGTTGTGTGGGATTTGAAAGGGGTTTAATTGGTTTTCTGTCCAACATTGGTATTTCCTGCTTGTATCACTTTTGAGCATTCGGGCTATTGATACCAATAGATAGACTAAGCTGACAAACTCTTTTGATGGTCATGTAACGATCTATTCCCACTCCCTCGCCCACTCCCCCTTCTCCCTCGCCCTTCATGCGGCTGCTCCAGCTGCACTTTGAATGCTGCCTTAGACCGCCCGCCCATCATCAAGGAAGCAGAGGCACTATAAACCGCTCATCGCTTTCCCTTTCTCCCCCCTATCCCCCCTACATGCTCCCTTAACAGCTGCTCCGGTTGCACTTTGAATGCTGCCTTAGACCGCCCGCCCATCATCAAGGAAGCAGAGGCACTATAAACCGCTCATCGCTTTCCCTTTCTCCCCCCTATCCCCCCTACATGCTCCCTTAACAGCTGCTCCGGTTGCACTTTGAATGCTGCCTTAGACCGCCCGCCCATCATCAAGGAAGCAGAGGCACTATAAACCGCTCATCGCTTTCCCTTTCTCCCCCCTATCCCCCCTACATGCTCCCTTAACAGCTGCTCCGGTTGCACTTTGAATGCTGCCTTAGACCGCCCGCCCATCATCAAGGAAGCAGAGGCACTATAAACCGCTCATCGCTTTCCCTTTCTCCCCCCTATCCCCCCTACATGCTCCCTTAACAGCTGCTCCGGTTGCACTTTGAATGCTGCCTTAGACCGCCCGCCCATCATCAAGGAAGCAGAGGCACTATAAACCGCTCATCGCTTTCCCTTTCTCCCCCCTATCCCCCCTACATGCTCCCTTAACAGCTGCTCCGGTTGCACTTTGAATGCTGCCTTAGACCGCCCGCCCATCATCAAGGAAGCAGAGGCACTATAAACCGCTCATCGCTTTCCCTTTCTCCCCCCTATCCCCCCTACATGCTCCCTTAACAGCTGCTCCGGTTGCACTTTGAATGCTGCCTTAGACCGCCCTCCCATCATCAAGGAAGCAGAGGCGTTCTTTGAGGCACGCGGGGTGGCGGGCTTTAAGCTGCACACCGCTGATGTGGTGAGCGCAAGGAGAGAGAGGGGTTTGGGCAGAGGCGCAAGGAGAGAGAGGGGTTTGGGCAGAGGCGCAAGGAGAGAGAGGGGTTTGGGCAGAGGCGCAAGGAGAGAGAGGGGTTTGGGCAGAGGCGCAAGGAGAGAGAGGGGTTTGGGCAGAGGCGCAAGGAGAGAGAGGGGTTTGGGCTGTGTACTGTGTATGTATGTTCTGCCCTTGACCGCCCTCCCAAAATCGAACAGGCAGAAGCGTTCTTTGAAACAGGCGGGGTGGCGGGCTTTAAGTTGCACTCTGCCGATGTGGTGAGCAGGAGAGGGAGAGGGAGAGAGAGGGGGAGAGGAGAGGGGATGGGGCAGTGCATGTGTGGATGTATGAATGCTGCTTTGACAGCATTCCCATGATGATGTATGAGTGTGCCTGAAAGTCCGCTACCCCACAGGCTTCAGTGCACGCCTCTGAACCGCAATCCCATTATCGCAAAGACAGAGGCGTTCACTGAACCCTGTTGGGTGGCGGGCTTTAAGCTGCACTCTGCTGATGTGGTGAGCGGTGGTGGGAGAGGAGGGCGGTGAGGCCGTGCATGGCATGCACGCATGCTCTGAATGCATCCCTTGACCGCCCTCCCATCGTCGCACAAGCAGAGGCGCTCTTTTCTGCTTGAGGGGTGCCTGCCAGGCTTTTCCTAATTTGTTTTTTATTCGCCTCTAAATTAGGTGGGGGCCCTCAAGATTAGGTACAGGGCTTCAAGCTAATCATGCAGGGTTTGTTAGATTATAGCGTGCATATGGCTAGACCTAACAGTGTACACCCAAATCATGGGTGTACACATTCAGGAGGTCTCCCAACTTTTGGTTGGGTTTCCACAACCCAAGCGGCCATTATTGTTGGGAGCCAACATTGGTGGCCAAACCCTCCAGTGTTTGGCTCCTCCAATAATTGGCGCAACCTTAATGATTGGGCTGGACCCCCACCACATTGGTCAGCCAATAATGGTGGAGGGTAACCCTAACTTTGGTCACTCACCTCATGCACTATTTGTACTGCTCTTCTTTCTCAATATACCAACACTTGAGTTTCTCACAGGGTTGCAGACCTGTGATGAGCGGGAGAGTAGAGTAGAAGGAGGAGGATGTGCGTGCATGCATGCATGATCCGCCAAACATACCCCTCGCAAGATAACTCGTCTTGTCTTACTTTCCCCACCTCTCTCCCACTTCCAGGTGGAGTGGCGATGTCGTGCTAAACTAGCAGTGAGGGGCACAGCAGGGGAGCCGCTGGTGGGGCTGTATGCAGCACGGTCACTGTGAGGGGGAGTGGCGATGTCGTGCTAAGCTGGCAGTGAGGGTAACAGCAGGGGAGCCGCTGGTGGGGCTGTCTTGTCCCTTCATTGCCCCTCTCCTCCCCCCACCCTGTCTCCCCACTCTATTCCGTATTCCCCTCTCTCCCTTGCTTCTAGGTGGAGTGGCGATGTCGTGCTAAACTAGCAGTGAGGGGCACAGCAGGGGAGCCGCTGGTGGGGCTGTATGCAGCACGGTCGCATGATGTGGTGGATATACCCATGTGCAGAGGTGCGATAGAGTGAGGTTGTAAGTGGTAGTGTGCGGTAATATGTGGTGTAATGTGGTGAATTCGCTGGTGGGGCTGTATGTAGGACGGTCGCACAATGTGGTGGATATTCCCATGTGCAGAGGTGGGTGAGTAATGTAGTGTTGCTACTGCTATACACACAGTGCCGTCAGCACAAGCAGGGAGAGAATCTGCTGGTGGGGCTGTATGTAACACTGTCACACGACGTGGTGGATATTCCCATGTGCAGAGGTGCGGTGAGGTGGAGTGAGGTACTATATGGTCGTGTCTGGTGTTATGTGGTAGTATGTGGTACAATGTGAATTGCACGGAGGAAGGCTGCTGGTGGGGCTGTATGCGGCACGGTCACATGATGTGGTTGACATTCCCATGTGCAGAGGTGTGTGGAGTGAGGTATTATGAGGTAGTAGTGTGTGGTAATGTGTGATGCTATGTGGTAGAATGTGGTATAATGTGAATCGCAGGGAGGGAGACTGCTGGTGGGGCCATATGCAGCACGATGTGGTGGATATGACCATGTGCAGAGGTGGGTTCGAGCAATATGCATGCATCGTGCGCCCATGTACTTCATACAGTCATGTATATGTTGCACTCTCCTCCTTCCTTTCCCACTTATCCTTCCCCCCTCTTCCCACTCCTCCCCACCTTAACTACAGCCCACCATCCGCGCCTGAATGCTGCTGCAGCCCTTGTGCGATCAGGTGAGACGGGGGGCTGCATTGAGGTGCCGATGTACAGCGCTGACGTGAGGGCTGTGTTCCATTTGAGTCGACACATAAATTAACTCTCACCGCCTCCTCTGCAGCCCACCATCCGCGCCTGAATGCTGCTGCAGCTCTCGTGTGAGCAGGTGAGATGAGAGTTACTTTGAGGTGACTTCCCAGCTAACTTTTAGCTGAGTTACTATTCTTGTACGCTCCTCATGTCTCTTCTCATCTCCTTCAACAGTCAGCTTATTCTAATGTTTTGCACACTCTCCTTCCCTCCTCACTACAGTAATAAAGGACCTGGGCGTAGAGCCTTATAACGAGGAAACAGGCCAGGGGATGCTCAGATACATTCAGGTGAGGTCCAAATCAGGTGGTTTCTTTCAGGTCGCTTTTCAGGTGCCCATCAGGTGGTCTCCAGGTACATTAGGTGGCTTTCAGGTTCCCATGGGGTGGTTCTGGTGCGCATCAGGTGGTCTCCACTCCAGCTGCTTATTAGGTGGCTTTCAGGTTCCCATGAGGTGGTTCAGGTGCCCATCAGGTGGTCTCCAGCTGCTTATCAGGTGGCTTTCAGCACATCGATTCCACCTGCTGCCTGCCTTTGCAACATCCTTTTGAGGCGCCTCAAAAGTGCGCATCCCATCAGGTGGTATTTGGTTGCCTCTGAAAGTTGCAAGTTGCCTTCAGCATGTCGACTCTACTACCTGCTGAAGGCCTTTTTTGGTTGCTGCTTGCTTGCCTCTGCAAGTTGCAACATCCCCTTGCTTTTGAGAATTATCAAAAACATCCCCTTGCTTTTGAGAATTATAAAAAACATCCCCTTGCTTTTGAGAATTATCAAAAACATCCCCTTGCTTTTGAGAATTATAAAAAACATCCCCTTGCTTTTGAGAATTATCAAAAACATCCCCTTGCTTTTGAGAATTATCAAAAACATCCCCTTGCTTTTGAGAATTATAAAAAACATCCCCTTGCTTTTGAGAATTATCAAAAACATCCCCTTGCTCTTGAGAATTATCAAAAACATCCCCTTGCTTTTGAGAATTATCAAAAACATCCCCTTGCTTTTGAGAATTATAAAAAACATCCCCTTGCTTTTGAGAATTATCAAAAACATCCCCTTGCTCCCTGCAGCTTATTCCACCACACCTCCTGCTTCATCACCAGGCCTCAGCAACTTCCAACCGCACTCCACTCCCCCCCACCCATTCACACCTCACAGCTTGCTCTCACCACCAACGACACCTCCATCCCTTCTTCTGAGCGATACCTGAAAGGTACGAACGAACTATCACTTTTGAGATTTCTTAGTGCTGAAACAAGCTTGCTGCAAACCTGAAAGGTACGCGTGTGCATAGTGGTGAATAGTGGTGCACGAACGAAACATCCCATCTTCCATTTTGAGATTTCTGAGTGCAGAAACAAGCGTGCTGCATCCCTGAAAGGTACGCTGCGCTACGCACGTGCTACATACACTGAATGCACAGTGACAGTCCAGTCTGTTCGTTACCTGCAGATAGATGCATGATCCAGGTAACCACATAAGCACACATGCACATATGGCATATGCTGTTACCGCGCCAACCATATGTTGGCTAGAGGTGCTGTTGCCATCCTGCCTTCACTATTGTCATAGCCCATGCCTCCAATGCCCATGCCTCCAAAACCCATGCCTCCAAAACTCATGCCTACCCATACACCCACTACCCAATTTCACCATATATCACCACCCGCCGTCTCATCACATTCCAGGCAAGGTGCAGGTGACGCTGGTGTGGAACGCGAGCAACGAAAAGTCACCCACTGCTGAGAAGATTCCAGCCCTGTGCAAGGTGGGCGAGCCATGAAATATGAAATATGAGAGGCGAGAGATGAGAGGTGAAGAGACGGAGTGGAGAAGAGATGGAGGGGATGAGATGAGAGATGAGAGATGAGAGATGAGAGATGAGAGATGAGAGATGAGAGATGAGAGATGAGAGATGAGAGGTGAGAGGCGAGAGGCGAGAGGCGAGAGGCGAGGGGCGAGGGGCGAGGGGCGAGGGGCGAGGGGCGAGGGGCGAGGGGCGAGGGGCGAGGGGCGAGGGGCGAGGGGCGAGGGGCGAGGGGCGAGGGGCGAGGGGCGAGGGGCGAGGGGCGAGGGGCGAGGGGCGAGGGGCGAGGGGCGAGGGGCGAGGGGCGAGGGGCGAGGGGCGAGGGGCGAGGGGCGAGGGGCGAGGGGCGAGGGGCGAGGGGCGAGGGGCGAGGGGCGAGGGGCGAGGGGCGAGGGGCGAGGGGCGAGGGGCGAGGGGCGAGGGGCGAGGGGCGAGGGGCGAGGGGCGAGGGGCGAGGGGCGAGGGGCGAGGGGCGAGGGGCGAGGGGCGAGGGGCGAGGGGCGAGGGGCGAGGGGCGAGGGGCGAGAGATGAGAGATGAGAGATGAGAGATGAGAGATGAGAAATGAGAGTGTGGAGACGAGACGCGGAGGTAGGTGGAGGGGAGGCGGAGGGTATGTGCAGAGGACAAAGTCCTGCAGTGCATTCAGATTGGCGTTCAGAACGGTCGGAGCACAAAGTCCTGCAGAGCCAATCTGTAAACCCTTCCAACCGTTCTCACCATTTTCCTTCTCTCTTTTCCCTTTTCGTTCCTCTCTGTTGTCTCCAGGAACTGTGGTGGACGGGAGGCGCAGATTCGGCTTGAACCACTCTTTACCGTTCTGAACCCCTTTGTCCTCCCGGAGCCTCTTCGTTCTTCCACGCAAAAAGAACCCAGTTGCGGGACGGAAGGTGGAGATTCTCCTTGAACTCCTTCCCACCATTCTGAGCACCTTGTAAATCCTCTTCTTTCGCTTCACCCCTCGTGCAAAACATTTCCAGGAGCTGTGGCTGCGGGGAGGCAAAGAGGATCGGGTGCTGCACTCTGTGTGGGTCAACTTCCAAACATCGTCCAGCAATGTGAGTGTGTCGTGGACAAAAGGGGGTCAGGTCGGTTGGGTGTACGAGTTTAGGCAACAGCAGGGTAGGGGCGTTCAAGCCACGTCAGAAGCTCGAGTGCTGCACTCTGTGTGAGTGAAATTCCATACATCTTCCAGCAATGTGAGTGTTGCAGCCTGTGTCATGCATGTATGTATGTATGTATGTATGTATGTATGTATGTATGTATGTATGTATGTATGTATGTATGTATGTATGTATGTATGTATGTATGTATGTATGTATGTATGTATGTATGTATGTATGTATGTATGTATGTATGTATGTATGTATGTATGTGTGTGTGTGTGTGTGTGTGTGTGTGTGTGTGTGTGTGTGTGTGTGTGTGTGTGTGTGTGTGTGTGTATTGTAATTTGTAGGTGTATCCAACCATAGTGTACCCAATGAGCATTTGTATCATATGTGCGACCTTCGTGCATAAGGCACGGTCTATGCTACACAGCTCGTGGCATGTGACGACTACAATCCTCAATAGCCTCCTGACCTCCTAGCATCTTCCTCGTCATGTGTTGAGAGCGTTCAACTTGCATCGCCACTACCACCCCCAGGGCAAGTTAGTGATGAGCACGGCGCTGTTGGTCGTGGCACGGTCTATGCTACACAGCTCGTGGCATGTGACGACTACAATCCTCAATAGCCTCCTGACCTCCTAGCATCTTCCTCGTCATGTGTTGAGAGCGTTCAACTTGCATCGCCACTACCACCCCCAGGGCAAGTTAGTGATGAGCACGGCGCTGTTGGTCGTGGCACGGTCTATGCTACACAGCTCGTGGCATGTGACGACTACAATCCTCAGTAGCCTCCTGACCTCCTAGCATCTTCCTCGTCATGTGTTGAGAGCGTTCAACTTGCATCGCCACTACCACCCCCAGGGCAAGTTAGTGATGAGCACGGCGCTGTTGGTCGTGGCACGGTCTATGCTACACAGCTCGTGGCATGTGACGACTTTTGAGGCGCCTTAAAAGGCATGTACGGTAGCCATTCTTGACTGAATTTATTGTACGTCCCTTGCAGGTGATATTTGGTGGCAGGTGGCGGCACATGATTGGCCCAACGGACACGTGGGAGCGGTTGGGGGGCGTGGATGTGTGCTTCACTCCAGGGAGCTTTGGGCAGGCCAACTACAAGGTGAGGGGTGGAGAGCGGTGGGATTGGGTGGGTATTACAAGGTGAGAGGTGGAGAGAGTTGGGTTTGGGTTCCACAGGGTGAAGAGTCAGGTGGAGGCTGGGGGCGTGGATGTGTGCTTCACTCCGGGGAGCTTCGGTCAGGCCAACTACAAGGTGAGGGTTGGAGAGCTTTGCGATGGGATGGCTACTACAAAACACATTCTTGATGCTGCGTCTCTCCCAATCTCCCACCCCCCTTTTCCCCAACAGGCGTTTGACCTGATGCTGAAGCATCTGCACTCGCTCATCCCTCGCCGTTCATCTGTGGTGGAGCTTTACGCTGGCGCAGGGGCCATAGGGCTGTCTCTTGCTGCTACCACACAGTGCAGGTACGCGAGCCTGCAGCACCACAATCAAATAAGGAGGAAAAAATACTCCTATCCCTTGTGGTTTTGCTATACAAACAAACTGATTCATTATTGCTGATCTACACAACCTCTCTTCAAGCACAACTACCTCCCCCCCCTTCCCTTCCTCTTCCTGTTCCTGCCTATCCACTGTCCGGTGCTATCATGCTAGCCACCCGCCTTCACTCGCTCACATCAACGAGGCGTCACGAGGCGTCACGGGCGCGCTTCACTCGCTCGCTGGAGCGCCTGCAGGCCAACCCCTTGGAATTTTCCCCCTTCCCCTTCCTCACCCTTCCTCCTCCCCTCCCCCCCCCTCCTCTTTCACTCAGTGCTCGGTGCTATGACATCTACGAAGCTGCATGGGCGCCCTTCACTCGTTCGCTGAAGCGACTACAGCTCACCCTCAGTCACACTCTTGCTTCTCCACCCCGCCCTTCCCGTTCCTGTCCATCCAGTGTACGGTGCTATGAAATCAACGAAGCAGCAATGGCGTGGCGCCTTTCATGCATCTTCGCTCATAGCTGCAATTCTGAAGATTGGAAAACGCTTAAAGCAACGAAGCAGCAATGGATGGCGCCTTTCATGTGTTCACCGGAACGCCTGCAGCCCACCCCCTCTGACTCTCTCTCTCCCCACCCTCAGTCACGCTCTTGCTTCTCCACCCCGCCCTTCTCGTTTTTGCCCATACAGTGTACGCTGCTACGAGATCAACGAGGCAGCACGGGCGCCCTTCACGCGCTCACTGGAGCGCCTGCAGCCCACCCCCATCTTCCTTTTCCCCTCCTCCCTGCTCATCTTGCCCCCCTCTCCCCTGTTTGCTCAGTGTACGCTGCTACGAGATCAATGAGACAGCACGGGCGCCCTTCACGCGCTCACTGGAGCGACTGCAGCCGCTGCTGCGCCACCCTGCTTCCATATCCTGGCACCAGGCAGACGCAGAGGCGCCTGTTGAGGTGAGCACTGAGCAGTAAACACTGAATAATGCTGCACTCTCGACTGCAGCCGCTGCTGCGTCACCCTGCTTCCATATCCTGGCACCAGGCGGATGCAGAGGCGCCTGTTGAGGTGAGTGGGGGTTATTGTTAATGTAAGGGCATCAGCTGCAATTGCTGCTGCAGCCGCTGCTGCGCCACCCTGCTGCTGTGTCGTGGCACCAGGCAGATGCAGAGGCGCCCGTTGAGGTGAGCACTGCTGGTGGGTTGAACACTGCTGGTGTGGTGTGGCCTGCTTGAAAGAGTCTGAAACCGCCGCTGCTGCGCCACCCCACTGCCGTGTCGTGGCACCAGGCAGATGCAGAGGCACCCGTTGAAGTGAGTGCTGGCACTAAACACTGCATACTGCCGCACTCTTGCCTTCAGCAGCTGCTGCGCCACTCCGCTGCTGTGTCCTGGCACCAGGCAGATGCAGAGGCACCCGTTTAGTTGAGTGGGTGTTTGATTGAGTGCATCAGTTGCAGTCTCGGCTGCAACCGCTGCTGCATCACCCGGCTGCCATGTCATGGCACCAGGCAGACGCAGAGGCACCCGTTGAGGTGAGCACTGCTGGTGAGGTGAGACCTGAGTATTTCTGTACCCGCTGCTGCTCCCTCTGCTGCACCCCCTGCTGCACCCGCTGCTGCAACCGCTGCTGCATCACCCAGCTGCCATGTCATGGCACCAGGCAGACGCAGAGGCACCCGTTGAGGTGAGCACTGCTGGTGAGGTGAGACCTGAGTATTTCTGTACCCGCTGCTGCTCCCTCTGCTGCACCCCCTGCTGCACCCCCTGCTGCAACCGCTGCTGCGCCACCCACCTGCCGTATCGTGGCACCAGGCGGACGCAGAAGCACCCGTTGAGATGAGGAGAACTGAGCTCTGAATACTCGGTGCTGCTGCAGTGCAGTTACTGCTGCAACCTCGTTACATTCCCCTGGATGGGATGCGGGTGTGGTGCTCGTGGACCCTCCTTGCATATAGGGGCCTTCACGAGCCAGGGGAGGGGTTGCTGTCCCTAGTGGAGGTCCCAGTAATTCATGTCTGTGCCCCTCACTCCCTGCCTCTGCCTCTGTCCCTTCCCTCCCCCCTCTCAGTCCCATCTGGACATTCGACTGGATGCGGACGTGGTGCTCGTGGACCCCCCCTCGCAGGGGCCTTCAGCACGAGCCAGGAGTTGCTTGCTCCTAATCAGGCTCACAGTATGCGTGTCTTTCCTCCCTCCCCCCATCAGTCCCATCTGGACATTCTACTGGATGCAGACGTGGTGCTGGTGGACCCTCCTTGCAGAAGCCTGCAGTAGGAGACAGAGATTTTTCCCTTGCCGTTTGCAGATTGCCATTTGCAACATGCGACCCTTGCGCTTTCCTTCCCTTCCTTCCCCCCATCAGTCCCATCTGGACATTCTTCTGGATGCAGACGTGGTGCTCGTGGACCCCCCTCGCAGGGGCCTGCACGAGCCGGTCTTGGCTGCTCTGCTGCACGCTGCCAGGCATGCTGACAGGTAGGGTGGAGCCTCTTTGTGTGTGTCAGTGCGTGTGGGTCTGGGTGCGTGTGGGTCTGGGTGCGTGTGGGTCTGGGTGCGTGTGGGTCTGGGTGCGTGTGGGTCTGGGTGCGTGTGGGTCTGGGTGCGTGTGGGTCTGGGTGCGTGTGGGTCTGGGTGCGTGTGGGTCTGGGTGCGTGTGGGTCTGGGTGCGTGTGGGTCTGGGTGCGTGTGGGTCTGGGTGCGTGTGGGTCTGGGTGCGTGTGGGTCTGGGTGCGTGTGGGTCTGGGTGCGTGTGGGTCTGGGTGCGTGTGGGTCTGGGTGCGTGTGGGTCTGGGTGCGTGTGGGTCTGGGTGCGTGTGGGTCTGGGTGCGTGTGGGTCTGGGTGCGTGTGGGTCTGGGTGCGTGTGGGTCTGGGTGCGTGTGGGTCTGGGTGCGTGTGGGTCTGGGTGCGTGTGGGTCTGGGTGCGTGTGGGTCTGGGTGCGTGTGGGTCTGGGTGCGTGTGGGTCTGGGTGCGTGTGGGTCTGGGTGCGTGTGGGTCTGGGTGCGTGTGGGTCTGGGTGCGTGTGGGTCTGGGTGCGTGTGGGTCTGGGTGCGTGTGGGTCTGGGTGCGTGTGGGTCTGGGTGCGTGTGGGTCTGGGTGCGTGTGGGTCTGGGTGCGTGTGGGTCTGGGTGCGTGTGGGTCTGGGTGCGTGTGGGTCTGGGTGCGTGTGGGTCTGGGTGCGTGTGGGTCTGGGTGCGTGTGGGTCTGGGTGCGTGTGGGTCTGGGTGCGTGTGGGTCTGGGTGCGTGTGGGTCTGGGTGCGTGTGGGTCTGGGTGCGTGTGGGTCTGGGTGCGTGTGGGTCTGGGTGCGTGTGGGTCTGGGTGCGTGTGGGTCTGGGTGCGTGTGGGTCTGGGTGCGTGTGGGTCTGGGTGCGTGTGGGTCTGGGTGCGTGTGGGTCTGGGTGCGTGTGGGTCTGGGTGCGTGTGGGTCTGGGTGCGTGTGGGTCTGGGTGCGTGTGGGTCTGGGTGCGTGTGGGTCTGGGTGCGTGTGGGTCTGGGTGCGTGTGGGTCTGGGTGCGTGTGGGTCTGGGTGCGTGTGGGTCTGGGTGCGTGTGGGTCTGGGTGCGTGTGGGTCTGGGTGCGTGTGGGTCTGGGTGCGTGTGGGTCTGGGTGCGTGTGGGTCTGGGTGCGTGTGGGTCTGGGTGCGTGTGGGTCTGGGTGCGTGTGGGTCTGGGTGCGTGTGGGTCTGGGTGCGTGTGGGTCTGGGTGCGTGTGGGTCTGGGTGCGTGTGGGTCTGGGTGCGTGTGGGTCTGGGTGCGTGTGGGTCTGGGTGCGTGTGGGTCTGGGTGCGTGTGGGTCTGGGTGCGTGTGGGTCTGGGTGCGTGTGGGTCTGGGTGCGTGTGGGTCTGGGTGCGTGTGGGTCTGGGTGCGTGTGGGTCTGGGTGCGTGTGGGTCTGGGTGCGTGTGGGTCTGGGTGCGTGTGGGTCTGGGTGCGTGTGGGTCTGGGTGCGTGTGGGTCTGGGTGCGTGTGGGTCTGGGTGCGTGTGGGTCTGGGTGCGTGTGGGTCTGGGTGCGTGTGGGTCTGGGTGCGTGTGGGTCTGGGTGCGTGTGGGTCTGGGTGCGTGTGGGTCTGGGTGCGTGTGGGTCTGGGTGCGTGTGGGTCTGGGTGCGTGTGGGTCTGGGTGCGTGTGGGTCTGGGTGCGTGTGGGTCTGGGTGCGTGTGGGTCTGGGTGCGTGTGGGTCTGGGTGCGTGTGGGTCTGGGTGCGTGTGGGTCTGGGTGCGTGTGGGTCTGGGTGCGTGTGGGTCTGGGTGCGTGTGGGTCTGGGTGCGTGTGGGTCTGGGTGCGTGTGGGTCTGGGTGCGTGTGGGTCTGGGTGCGTGTGGGTCTGGGTGCGTGTGGGTCTGGGTGCGTGTGGGTCTGGGTGCGTGTGGGTCTGGGTGCGTGTGGGTCTGGGTGCGTGTGGGTCTGGGTGCGTGTGGGTCTGGGTGCGTGTGGGTCTGGGTGCGTGTGGGTCTGGGTGCGTGTGGGTCTGGGTGCGTGTGGGTCTGGGTGCGTGTGGGTCTGGGTGCGTGTGGGTCTGGGTGCGTGTGGGTCTGGGTGCGTGTGGGTCTGGGTGCGTGTGGGTCTGGGTGCGTGTGGGTCTGGGTGCGTGTGGGTCTGGGTGCGTGTGGGTCTGGGTGCGTGTGGGTCTGGGTGCGTGTGGGTCTGGGTGCGTGTGGGTCTGGGTGCGTGTGGGTCTGGGTGCGTGTGGGTCTGGGTGCGTGTGGGTCTGGGTGCGTGTGGGTCTGGGTGCGTGTGGGTCTGGGTGCGTGTGGGTCTGGGTGCGTGTGGGTCTGGGTGCGTGTGGGTCTGGGTGCGTGTGGGTCTGGGTGCGTGTGGGTCTGGGTGCGTGTGGGTCTGGGTGCGTGTGGGTCTGGGTGCGTGTGGGTCTGGGTGCGTGTGGGTCTGGGTGCGTGTGGGTCTGGGTGCGTGTGGGTCTGGGTGCGTGTGGGTCTGGGTGCGTGTGGGTCTGGGTGCGTGTGGGTCTGGGTGCGTGTGGGTCTGGGTGCGTGTGGGTCTGGGTGCGTGTGGGTCTGGGTGCGTGTGGGTCTGGGTGCGTGTGGGTCTGGGTGCGTGTGGGTCTGGGTGCGTGTGGGTCTGGGTGCGTGTGGGTCTGGGTGCGTGTGGGTCTGGGTGCGTGTGGGTCTGGGTGCGTGTGGGTCTGGGTGCGTGTGGGTCTGGGTGCGTGTGGGTCTGGGTGCGTGTGGGTCTGGGTGCGTGTGGGTCTGGGTGCGTGTGGGTCTGGGTGCGTGTGGGTCTGGGTGCGTGTGGGTCTGGGTGCGTGTGGGTCTGGGTGCGTGTGGGTCTGGGTGCGTGTGGGTCTGGGTGCGTGTGGGTCTGGGTGCGTGTGGGTCTGGGTGCGTGTGGGTCTGGGTGCGTGTGGGTCTGGGTGCGTGTGGGTCTGGGTGCGTGTGGGTCTGGGTGCGTGTGGGTCTGGGTGCGTGTGGGTCTGGGTGCGTGTGGGTCTGGGTGCGTGTGGGTCTGGGTGCGTGTGGGTCTGGGTGCGTGTGGGTCTGGGTGCGTGTGGGTCTGGGTGCGTGTGGGTCTGGGTGCGTGTGGGTCTGGGTGCGTGTGGGTCTGGGTGCGTGTGGGTCTGGGTGCGTGTGGGTCTGGGTGCGTGTGGGTCTGGGTGCGTGTGGGTCTGGGTGCGTGTGGGTCTGGGTGCGTGTGGGTCTGGGTGCGTGTGGGTCTGGGTGCGTGTGGGTCTGGGTGCGTGTGGGTCTGGGTGCGTGTGGGTCTGGGTGCGTGTGGGTCTGGGTGCGTGTGGGTCTGGGTGCGTGTGGGTCTGGGTGCGTGTGGGTCTGGGTGCGTGTGGGTCTGGGTGCGTGTGGGTCTGGGTGCGTGTGGGTCTGGGTGCGTGTGGGTCTGGGTGCGTGTGGGTCTGGGTGCGTGTGGGTCTGGGTGCGTGTGGGTCTGGGTGCGTGTGGGTCTGGGTGCGTGTGGGTCTGGGTGCGTGTGGGTCTGGGTGCGTGTGGGTCTGGGTGCGTGTGGGTCTGGGTGCGTGTGGGTCTGGGTGCGTGTGGGTCTGGGTGCGTGTGGGTCTGGGTGCGTGTGGGTCTGGGTGCGTGTGGGTCTGGGTGCGTGTGGGTCTGGGTGCGTGTGGGTCTGGGTGCGTGTGGGTCTGGGTGCGTGTGGGTCTGGGTGCGTGTGGGTCTGGGTGCGTGTGGGTCTGGGTGCGTGTGGGTCTGGGTGCGTGTGGGTCTGGGTGCGTGTGGGTCTGGGTGCGTGTGGGTCTGGGTGCGTGTGGGTCTGGGTGCGTGTGGGTCTGGGTGCGTGTGGGTCTGGGTGCGTGTGGGTCTGGGTGCGTGTGGGTCTGGGTGCGTGTGGGTCTGGGTGCGTGTGGGTCTGGGTGCGTGTGGGTCTGGGTGCGTGTGGGTCTGGGTGCGTGTGGGTCTGGGTGCGTGTGGGTCTGGGTGCGTGTGGGTCTGGGTGCGTGTGGGTCTGGGTGCGTGTGGGTCTGGGTGCGTGTGGGTCTGGGTGCGTGTGGGTCTGGGTGCGTGTGGGTCTGGGTGCGTGTGGGTCTGGGTGCGTGTGGGTCTGGGTGCGTGTGGGTCTGGGTGCGTGTGGGTCTGGGTGCGTGTGGGTCTGGGTGCGTGTGGGTCTGGGTGCGTGTGGGTCTGGGTGCGTGTGGGTCTGGGTGCGTGTGGGTCTGGGTGCGTGTGGGTCTGGGTGCGTGTGGGTCTGGGTGCGTGTGGGTCTGGGTGCGTGTGGGTCTGGGTGCGTGTGGGTCTGGGTGCGTGTGGGTCTGGGTGCGTGTGGGTCTGGGTGCGTGTGGGTCTGGGTGCGTGTGGGTCTGGGTGCGTGTGGGTCTGGGTGCGTGTGGGTCTGGGTGCGTGTGGGTCTGGGTGCGTGTGGGTCTGGGTGCGTGTGGGTCTGGGTGCGTGTGGGTCTGGGTGCGTGTGGGTCTGGGTGCGTGTGGGTCTGGGTGCGTGTGGGTCTGGGTGCGTGTGGGTCTGGGTGCGTGTGGGTCTGGGTGCGTGTGGGTCTGGGTGCGTGTGGGTCTGGGTGCGTGTGGGTCTGGGTGCGTGTGGGTCTGGGTGCGTGTGGGTCTGGGTGCGTGTGGGTCTGGGTGCGTGTGGGTCTGGGTGCGTGTGGGTCTGGGTGCGTGTGGGTCTGGGTGCGTGTGGGTCTGGGTGCGTGTGGGTCTGGGTGCGTGTGGGTCTGGGTGCGTGTGGGTCTGGGTGCGTGTGGGTCTGGGTGCGTGTGGGTCTGGGTGCGTGTGGGTCTGGGTGCGTGTGGGTCTGGGTGCGTGTGGGTCTGGGTGCGTGTGGGTCTGGGTGCGTGTGGGTCTGGGTGCGTGTGGGTCTGGGTGCGTGTGGGTCTGGGTGCGTGTGGGTCTGGGTGCGTGTGGGTCTGGGTGCGTGTGGGTCTGGGTGCGTGTGGGTCTGGGTGCGTGTGGGTCTGGGTGCGTGTGGGTCTGGGTGCGTGTGGGTCTGGGTGCGTGTGGGTCTGGGTGCGTGTGGGTCTGGGTGCGTGTGGGTCTGGGTGCGTGTGGGTCTGGGTGCGTGTGGGTCTGGGTGCGTGTGGGTCTGGGTGCGTGTGGGTCTGGGTGCGTGTGGGTCTGGGTGCGTGTGGGTCTGGGTGCGTGTGGGTCTGGGTGCGTGTGGGTCTGGGTGCGTGTGGGTCTGGGTGCGTGTGGGTCTGGGTGCGTGTGGGTCTGGGTGCGTGTGGGTCTGGGTGCGTGTGGGTCTGGGTGCGTGTGGGTCTGGGTGCGTGTGGGTCTGGGTGCGTGTGGGTCTGGGTGCGTGTGGGTCTGGGTGCGTGTGGGTCTGGGTGCGTGTGGGTCTGGGTGCGTGTGGGTCTGGGTGCGTGTGGGTCTGGGTGCGTGTGGGTCTGGGTGCGTGTGGGTCTGGGTGCGTGTGGGTCTGGGTGCGTGTGGGTCTGGGTGCGTGTGGGTCTGGGTGCGTGTGGGTCTGGGTGCGTGTGGGTCTGGGTGCGTGTGGGTCTGGGTGCGTGTGGGTCTGGGTGCGTGTGGGTCTGGGTGCGTGTGGGTCTGGGTGCGTGTGGGTCTGGGTGCGTGTGGGTCTGGGTGCGTGTGGGTCTGGGTGCGTGTGGGTCTGGGTGCGTGTGGGTCTGGGTGCGTGTGGGTCTGGGTGCGTGTGGGTCTGGGTGCGTGTGGGTCTGGGTGCGTGTGGGTCTGGGTGCGTGTGGGTCTGGGTGCGTGTGGGTCTGGGTGCGTGTGGGTCTGGGTGCGTGTGGGTCTGGGTGCATGTGGGTGTCTGAGAGTGTGAGTGAGATCCTCGCAGGGGCCTGCACGAGCCAGTTTCTGGCTGCTCTGCTGCACGCTGCCAGGCATGCCGGCAGGTAACGTGGACGTTTGAATGTCAGGGTGGGTTGGTGTGTCTGTCTGAGAGTGTGTGTCTCAGAGTGCGTGCGTCTGGCACTCGCAGGGGCCTGCACGAGCCAGTTCTGGCTGCTCTGCTGCATGCTGCCAGGCACGCCGGCTGGTATGGTCGATTTGTTAATGTGTGCGTGAGTGTATGTGTGTCTGTGTGTGTGTCTGGGGCTGGGTCAGCGTCTGTTGGTATGCGTGCGTGCCTGGGTAGAAAGTGCCTCGAGAGTAGGCTCAGTCGTGTTGCCATTGCCAAGGGATGCAGTCAGATGATGCCTCTCTCTCTTCCGCCCTTCCATGGCCCTCCGACTGCATTACATTTCATTTCCCGTCGCTCCTTTACTTGCTCACGGTGTCTCGTGCTCTTATCCTCCCTTCCTCCTCGCCCTGTACAACCACTGCCGGTCTGTCCTCCCTCAGGTTATCGCAGCAGCATGGAGACAGCCAATCCAGCAGCAGCACTGCCAGGAATGAAAATTCAAAGACTGGCAGCAGCAGCAGTAGCAGAGTTAGCTGCATGGGCATGAAAGCAAGCAAGCTCAAGGCACGACTCTCTCCTCCCTCTGCCCTTCCGTCCTTCTCTCCCCCCTCAGGCTGTCCCAGCAGCAGGCAGATAGTCAGTCCCGCAGCGCCGCCCGCAGTGAGAAGACCAAGGGTGGCAGCAGCAGTGGTGGGACGAGAGTGGGTGACGGCTTAACTCTTGTGTATATCAGCTGTGGATGGGACGCCTTTCAGAGGGTGAGAGAGAGGAGAGGGAGGGCAGGGGTGAGAGGGTAGGGAAATGGGCAGTGGTAGCAGCAATGGTCGCCGGGGGGAGAGAACACGTGACAGCTTGACTCTGGTGTATATGAGCTGCGGATGGGACGCGTTTCAGCGGGTGAGAGGGCAGGGAGGGAGGGTGAAGTAATTAAGGGCGTGTGTGAGGGTTTAGGGGCAGGGGATCAAGTTAAGGGGAGCCTTACCAACTCCACCCCGCCCAATCCAACCTCTCAGAATTGTGACAAGCTGACTCAGGACAGCCTCTTCCATCTCTCCCACGCCTCTGCTTTCAACTTCGCTGTATGCTATGCTTCAACTCCTCAACCCACTTGTATTGCTTTGAACCGACCCACGTCCCTCCATCCCCAATCTTCAGGACTGTGACAAGCTCACTCAGGACGGCCTCTTCCATCTTTCCCACGCCTCTGCATTCAACTTCAAAACCTTTTCCTTAACCTCATCTCCCGCACCCTACCCCACCCCACCGCACCCCACCCCACAGGACTGTGACAAGCTGACTCAGGACGGCCTCTTCCATCTCTCCCACGCCTCTGCATTCAACTTCTTTCCTGGCACCAACAGGTAAGGCATTACCGTTACATGGTTACAGCAACAGCTAGGCCGAGACTGCTACATGGTGACTTCAACTGGTACTAACAGGTAGATGGTTACTAATTTCCTGGCACTAACAGGTAAAATTCTGGAAATTGTCACTTGGGGTCATCGTGGTTACCAGCAGGTAGGTAGGTGATTAGTGGTATGCAGTTGCTTGCAACAACAGCTGGGCTGTTATTGTTATTGGTTACCTTTTCACACACACATGTTACATTGGTACATCTCCACGATTGCATGGTGACAACAGTCGGTTCACTTAGTGTGGTTGCATACACTAAGGTGAACATTGCACGCGGATACACTGGAACACACGCACAGTGCACCATTACTTGCACTTGGATTATTACTCCATGCACTGAGATAGCAATTCGGAGAGGCAACAAGGGAAGTGCTTGGTCCATCTGCCTTTGGCTTGTGCCTCAAGCTCTGACCCTCCTGTCTGTGGCTCTGGTGAATTCCCTCTTGCAGCATCGAGACTCTTGCTGTCTTCACAACGGCCAGGCCACGCACTTTGTAGATCGTGCCAAGCAGACACATTTGAGCAACTGATGATGAGCACGGTGCAAGATCATGTAGATGCGGAATCTAGTCTGATTTGATGCCTCAGAGGCAAGTGTCGTACGGTGTGGATGAGTGTTCCTAGTATTCGTCTACTCATCATGTCACGACTTTCAAATGGCTTCAATTCTAGCACAAATGGTTCTGTATCCGTTCCAACAGTGAAACTCATCTCAATCAGATTGGGTTGGGTGAGCAGAAAGCACAGAATCTTTTTGGTTTTTGGACCACACTGGATCAACCAACTTTGGCAGTGACCTTTTAGAACTAAAACCATTCCTGCTTTACTTCTCAATCCTCCTGAACCTACTCCTTACCCTCCTCGATTAGCACAGGCACTCCTCCCCGTGCAATCGAGTCATGCACAGCACACACCACCTGCTGTGTCCGCGCCATCATGTCCACCCATCGCCCATCCAATGCTGCTTTCCCTTCCCCCCCTCTAACGCCCCTCACGATCTGTGCCAGCTCAGCAATCATCATTGCCTCCTGCGTCCACGTCAGCACGGTTTCTCTCCTCTCAACCGTGGATTCCACCCCCAGACTCGGATTTGGCCACTTGGACCCCTTTTCAATCACAAATTCGGCCTTATCTTCCTGGAAGGGGATGCAGAAGTCCTCGAGTGTGATTGTAGCGAGGGAGCCTGCAAACTCAAGGCGCTGAGAATCAATGGAATCAAATCCACACTGAAAGAGAGCGGTTAACCCGTTTCGCCAGCACAGGTAACCACCGCAGCGAATCAAAACGCCTTCTTCATTAACCTTGGGATCTGGAAAACCCAGCACTTTATACGGAAGCTCGAAATCTGCAGCCCAGAGCGACGCTCGAATGCAATACACCTGATGCTCGTTAGAGCCCCTCCCGGTTGCCTTGTGCTTTGGGACTGTAAGCTAAACCTTATTTCGCTGGAGGTTCGTTCGTTTCATCACGCGTCTGCCGTGCTTCTAACCTGCACGTGGTAACCACCCTGTTTGTCCGGTTCGTAACAGTGAGGGTTTGCAGCACTTGTCTGCTTTGTGTGTTCGAGGTTACTAAACGAACGCTACAGTACTGAAACAGGCAGGCACAGCAATTGTTCTTCATAGTACAAAACAACAATCACAACCTCAACATCCAATCAACATCTCCCACCTGGCCCCCCATAACCACACAACGCACAAAACGAAACACCCCCAAATTGTGAAAAGAAGAACGAGGAATGATTGCATTGAGCAGCATGAGGAGTACAAGTACCAAACCCTAAAGTGTTGTACCCCATATGAGCTACCCCACTACAGCCTACACAGACTATAGTATATAAGTTTGACACACCCCCATAGGCAAAGTGAGGGAGAACAAGGGGTCACAAGACCAGTCAAGCAAAGCAAGGCAAAGCAAGCTCAGGGTGGATCACAATGTCACCACACAGTCTGAGCACAAGTTCAAGGCCACAAGGCCAGTTCACATGCAAGATTACATATATATAACGCTAAACAAGCAAGGGCAGGTATATATATGTAACAGTACAAGCAAGGTCAAGAAGTAAGCAAGTGAGGCAAGGTAGGTACAAGACCTAACAGAGTGCAGAAGCGCTGATGATCACAAGGCGCGAGTGCCTTAGTGAAGATATCAGCAGTGTTGGCCTCAGAGGCCACGTAAGCAAGGCGCAGCTGACCACGCTGCTGCAGCTCACGAGCAAGAAAGTAGCGGAGAGCGATGTGCTTCGTTCTGTGCTCCAGTCTGTGCTCCCGACACAAGGCCAGCATGGCCTTGTTGTCTACGTACAGCACTGGAGGAGAACGAGGCGGCTCTCCGAGGTCAGTCAGCAGGTAGGTGAGCCAGCGTAGCTCCTGTGCAGCCATGGCCCCTGCGTAGATCTCAGCCTCACAGCTGGAGCCGAGAACAGAAGACGAGCGGGTAGACCGCCACGAAACAGAGCCGGAGCCAAGGCTGAAGGTGTAACCCTGTGACGACCGCTGCGTAGCCTGGTCGTCGGCCCAAGAAGCGTCTGCGTGACCAGTGAGGACCACTGGACTCTGCCCTCCAAGCACAAGCCCCATGCCCGACGTACTGCACACGTAGCGCAACACCCTCTTCGCTGCAGCCATGTGCTCTGGTCTGTGTCTCCCAGGAGCAACATAGCGTGCCAGAATGCTAAGAGGGTATGCAAGGTCAGGTCGAGTGCAAGTCATCAGGTACATGAGGCAGCCGACAAGCTCTGCGTACGGGCCACTCGACTCTACGGACTCATCCGAAGGCAGAGCTGAGAGCGAGTGGCGTGTAGGCAGAGGAGTGGCCTGAGGCGAGGAGTACGTGAAGCCGAAGCGCTGAAGGACCTGCTGCACCATGTGTGACTGAGTCAGGGTAATGGTGCGCTGTGCTCTGTCCCGGGTGATCTGCAAGCCAAGGTAGCTGCGCAGTTCACCCAGGTCTGTGCACGTGTGTCTCTTCTGCAGCTCGGACTTCACGTAGGCAAGTCCAGCAGTGTCAGCTGTAGCAAAGACCAAGTCGTCGACGTACACGAGGATGTAGAACGGCGGCAAGGAAGTGTCGGTGCGCAGAAACAGCGACGGGTCGGCAGTAGAAGGAGCAAACCCAAGAGCCGCAAGTGTCGCCCTCAGTGTGTCGTGCCACTCACGAGGCGCCAGGCGGAGACCGTAGACTGGCCGCCGGAGGCTCCACTGGGTGCCAGGAGGAAAAGTCCCAGTGAAGCCAGGTGGGCGGCGCAGCCAGATCTCCTCGTGCAGGCTGCCCTGCAAGAAAGCAGTGCTGAAGTCAAGAGAGTGAAGCTCGTAGTCACGGTGAGCGGCTATGTGCAGCAGTACCCGAAGAGTGGTCATCTTCGGGGTGGGAGAGAAGGTCTGAAAGTAGTCAACTCCCTGCCGCTGACTGAAGCCACGAGCCACGTAACGCGCCTTGAAGACAGGCGGAGAACCCGGCGGCCGCTTCACCCTGAAAATCCACATGCCACTGACGATGTTCGCCCCAGGCGGGGGAACCTCGTCAACGTAGGTGCCTGTGGACTTCCAGGAAGCCATCTCTGCGTCCATGGCTGCCTGCCACTGAGAGGAGTAGGGACCCTCTATCGCCTCCGCGTAAGAGCGCGGAGTCGGGATGTCAAGTGCATCCGGGTCTCCCTCAGGGGCAAGCAGCATGGCCACGAGATGGGGTACAGCAGCAGCAAGACACTGGAACTCCTCCTGCCTGTCCTCAAGGACGTCCGTGCTAAGAGCACACTCACCCCCGACGGACGGAGGACAGACAGACTCAGACTCAGCGACAAGACTAGCGGCGTAGTCTAGACGACAGACAGCAGCGAAGTCGACAAGCTCAGCAACCAGAGCAGACGCAGCAGTAGACTCAAAGGAAGGGTCAGTGACGACAGTAGCAAGGAGACGCGTGACAGTAGGACGCGCAGCACGAAGGGAGTCCGACTCAGGGTCAGGAAGGTTAGGAAGAGAGGACGCTGGAGGAGAAGGCAAAGGGGCACGCAGCGGAGCAGTGGAAGGACGCAGAGACATCCGGTGCGTGCCGGGGACAGGGGGAGGACGCTGGCGCGAACCACGACCACTAGTGCGAGCAGCACGGACAGGCGACGCAGGGCGAGACGCAGGCTCACGACGCTCAGCAAGACCTCCAGTAGGACCAGTGTAGGGAGAAGGAGAAGGAAGCGGGGAGGCTGGCTGTAACTGTGACTCAGACTGGACAGGAGGCGGACACTCTAAGGCAGGAGCAGGACCAAGAGAGGACGGAAGACCAAGAACCTGCTCAAGGAGCGGAACGAAGTACGGCCGCGGCCGCGTAGCTCCACCAGTGCCAGCAGGAACAGCACCAGCACCCCCAGCGGGAGCACCAGCACCAGGAGGACCCGCAGCTCCAGCAGCTCCAACTCCAGCACCCTCAGCAGTACCCGCGCCAGGAGCACCCCCAGCGCCAACACCCCCAGTAGCTCCAGCTCCAGCCGGACCACCCGAAGACGCAGCAGCTCCAGCTCCAGGAGCTCCAGCAGCACCAACGCCAGCAGCACCAGCAGCACCAGCAGCTCCAGCGCCAGCAGCACCAGCAGCACCACCAGCTCCAGCAGGAGGAGCACTCGTAGGGCCAGCAGCTCCAGTACACTCGGTACGAGCACCTCTGGGACCCTCGGCACCAGCACTCTCAGCAGCAGTAGAACCTCCAGCTCCTGCAGCACCACCAGCTCCAGCAGCACGTCGCCAGCGCCGGGCGAACCACTCACGCAGCTCCTGTGGAGAGAGCAGCTCCCGCCGGGACGAAGCACCCGAAGAACTGTCAGGCTCAGCACCACCAGACGCCGGACGAGCAGGTCCAGCACCCTCAGGCTCCGCACTCCGAGACTCAGCACCCCCAGGCTCAGTACCCTCAGGCGCAGCACCCCCAGGCTCAGCACCCCCAGGCCCAGCACCCCCAGGCTCAGCACCCCCAGTCGCAGCACCCCCAGGCTCAGCACCCCCAAGCTCAGCACCCCCAGGCTCAGCACCCCCAGTCGCAGCACCCCCAGACCCAGCACCCCCAGGCTCAGCACCACCAGCAGCACCAGAGTCAACAGCTACCTCGACTGGCTCAACTGCATCTACCTGGGACACACCTGAGGGAGCAGGACCCTGAGGGGGGAGGGGGTCTACCAGAGGGGGACCTGGCGTAAGGAAGAGCGGCGGGGGAGGGAGGGACGCAGTGCGGTAGGGGAAGAGACGGTAGTAGGGAACCGACTCGTCAAAGGTGACGTCCTGGGACGCGAAGACACGGCGCGAGGTGGGGTGGTAGAACTGCCAGCCTGGCGCGTCAGGGGGAAAGCCAAGGAAGACGCAGGGAACAGCACGAGAGGACAGCTTGTCCGCAGACAAGTCGCGGACAAACGCCCTAGATCCCCAGACCCGGAAACGCGACGCATCACCAACCTTCCCCGTCCACAGTAAAGCAGGGGAGGTCTCCGGCATGGAGACCCGGGGGTGAAGGTTGAGCTGATGCGCCGCGTACCGAACCGCAAACGGCCACAGAAAATGGGGAGCAGCCGCATGGATCATGGACGTACGAGCGACGTCCATGATCATGCCGATGCGGCGCTCAGCAATCCCATTCTGCTGCGGAGAGTCCGGAAGCGTGAAGGTCTGGCGGATGCCTCGTGCGCGACAGAAGGCCCGCAGAAGGTCAGAGGAGAACTCTCCGCCTCGGTCGGAGTGCAGACGCCGAACAGGAAAGTCGGAGCCGAAACTCTCCTGTGCTGAGTTGGAGACGAGCTGCGCGGATCCAGGCGATCAACACCTCAGTGACGTCACCCTTGCTGCGCAAGGGGAAGACTGCGGTGTAACGCGAGTAGTCGTCAACCACCAGCAGGAAGTAGCGCTCCTGACCCTGACCACAGACGCGGGCTGGGCCCCACACGTCCATGTGAAGCGTCTGCAGCGGAGCCTCTGTCGGAGGAAACTCGGAGGAGTGAGGAGCAGCGCGCTGCCGCCCCTCGACGCAGGGAACGCAGGTGGGGGCAGGCCCCGGAGGAAGGGGAGGGAGGGACCGGGGGAGGCCAGAAACAAGAAGACGGGAAGCCATGCCTCGAAGACGAGGCAGGGAGGGGTGACCAAGGCGGTGGTGCCAAAGGAGAGTCCGGTGGGACAGGAGACGACACGAGCAGGGGGCAGACTCAGGACCAGACCTGGACGCCGCAGCAAACACCTGACCCGACGCTGCTACCTGAGCAGACTCAGTGACTGGAGGAGACTCAGTAGTCAGTGTGTACAGGCTCGACCCTGGCCGACGAGCAAACGTGGCCAAGTGTCGGCCCGTGTCCGCACAAGTGCAGTGGGTCACCCGCTGACGCGCAGGGGTGAACTGGTCAACTCCTGCATCCTGGAGGTCAGCACCCGCCACCAAGTTCGTAGAGAACGAGGGGAGGTAGAGACCCGACAGGGAGCCAGACGGGACCGCCGGACACGGTAGGACAGTGGAGTAGTGAGCAAGGACAGGACCCCCAGAGGGGTCCGCCAGGGAGACCGCAACAGGCCGACTGAGCGGTGTGAGAGTGGTGCAGTCTCGAAAGAAGGAGCGGGAAGCACTTGAGTCAAGGGTGAAGGTGTGGGTGTCCGGGGACGACGCAGCACCTGAGAGCGCAAACTCACCGGCACCTGGGGCGGCAGACGCACTGGCACCTAGAGCGGCAGCCTCACAAGTACCTAGTGCAGCAGCCTCTATGCCTGGGTCAGGCGGGAAACACCGGTAACAGTCACCCTCATCACTAATAGTCACAGCATACATGGCAGCAAGGCTAGCATCAAAATCAAGATCATAGATCGCAACACCCGCCCTAGACAGCTCGCCCCAGCGAGGGATCTCAGTAGCGTCGGGGAACTGGTGGCGCCACGCGTCCGTCAGACGACCGAAGCAGCGATGGATGGGGTGCGCGCCCCCACACTGCTCACCCGCCCGGTCGCCGGTACGGAGAACGTAGGTACAGGGGCCAGCACCCCCGCCCCGCTGACGAGCAGTGTACCACTCACGAAGCTGCTGGGGGGAAGGGGTCTCACGGGTACGCTGCTGCTGCTGCTGCTGGCGCGCACCACCACCAGAGCCACTCCGCTGCGCAGCGCCACCCCGACCAGCTCCACCGCCGCCGCTACCTCCTCCAGGACCGCCACCTCCGCCACCTCCGCCACCTCCGCCACCTCCAGTCCCGCCACCGACGCCCCCACCCCCGCCACCACCCCCACCGCCACCCCCACCCCCTCCACCACCTCCACCTCCGCCTCCACCGCCCCCGCCAGCTCCTCCAGCACCCTTGCCCCCCTTGCCCTTGCCAGGGCGGCGTCTCCCGCTAGGGGCAGACGCCGCAGCGACCGACTCAAGACCAACGAGGTCGGCCGCAGCAGCAGAGGCAACAGAGGGCAAGAGGGGAGAGGGGGAGCACCCCTCAAAGACAGGGGCACGAGGGTCACCACGAGAGGCTCCTACAGCGACTATGCTCTTCTCTGCCGCTAGAAGGCGCTCCTCGAGGAGGTCAACGGTGAGGGTGGTGGGGCAAACAGAGAGGAAGTGGTCCCTAACCGGGCGAAGGGTGTCAGGGAGCCGGGTGACTATGTAGTAGAGGGTGATGTACATGGGGGGGGGTTCTTGGCGCAGAACTCAGCAGGAAGCGCAGCGCGGTAGCGAGTGTCACTAGTGCGAAGGTGCGTAATGAGGTCAGCGACAGTGGGAAAAGCGGCGAGGTCAGGGAAAAGGTACGGCAGGATGAGGCGGCTAAGCGACTCGACGGCTCAGCGACTCGGCGGCTCGGCGGTAGGGCGGCGTCGGGGTCGCGAGGGGCGGCAGAGCCGCGGACAGGCGGCGGAGTGGTCGCAAGTGGCGGCGACGGGGCCGAAAGGGGGGGCGGCGACGAGGCCGCAAAGGGCGGCGACGGAGGCCGTAGGAGGCGGCGACGAGGCCTGAAGGGGGGCGGCGACGGGGCCGCGAGGGACGACGACGGGGCCGCGAAGGGGGTGCGGCGACGGGGCCGCGAAGGGGAGGGCGGCGACGGGGCCGTGAGAGGCGGCGACGGGGCCGTAAGGGGCGGCGACGGGTCCGCGGAAGGGCGGCAACAGGGGCCGCGAGGGCGGCGACGGGGCCGCAAGAGGCGACGGGGCCGCAGAGGGCGGCGTCGGGGCCGCGACGGGCGGCGCCGGGGTCGCGTAAGGGTGGCGACGGGGGCCGCCAAGGGAGGCGACGGGGTCGCTAAGGGCGGCGACGGGGCCGCTAAGGGTGGCGACGGGGCCGCTAAGGGCGGCTCACCGATCGCGACTCGGACAGGGGCGACGCGGGCCCCGGGCAGGAAAAAAAACTCGATATTAGTGGGCCCTAGGAAAAGTTCCCACTAGGGAACCTGCTCTGAAACCATGTGAAAAGAAGAACGAGGAATGATTGCATTGAGCAGCATGAGGAGTACAAGTACCAAACCCTAAAGTGTTGTACCCCATATGAGCTACCCCACTACAGCCTACACAGACTATAGTATATAAGTTTGACACAAATGGGCACAAGGATTGATCAGTTGTGCCCTGCAAAATGCATTCGACACATTGCTGCGACTGCTCCACCCCCTCTCACAGACGCATCCATTCAGCCGCGTCCACATAGCCGTCCATCACGGCGCCCACCCCGGCGTCAAGCAACTGCTGACAGCGGGACGGACGGGTCATCCAGCCGGGCAACACACGGCCGCGCGGACGAGGGGTCTCGGGAGTGGGAGTTGCGCCGGGGGAGGGCACGGGCTGAGGCGCCACGTTGAGATTGAATCCCGGGCTCGCCCGCTCCATCCGCTCGATTATGACAGGATTGCGGATGTCGAAAAGAGCGCACAGATCGCGCGGCGTGATGCGGGTGGCCCTTGCGTACCCGATGAGCATCTCGCACGCCGCACGAGCAGTGCGCCGCGCCTCACGGCCCACGGGGTCGGCGTTCTCGTAGACGGCCTGCATGGTCGTCGGCGCCTGCCAGAGCTCCACCTCCAGGCCCGTCTCCGCCTCAGTCACTGTAGGTCCCGCTGCGCCTTCCGCACACGTAGGCTTGCCGTCGTCGATGGCGACGTACTCTGCCGCCGTCATCGCCGCATTCCCCAGGGCGAGCCCGCTAATAAGCGTCCCGACATCGTCGATGTCGTCGTCGAGCTCAATGTCGGGGTAAGCGGCGGGAATGGGCTCGTCGTCATGCACGTGCACCCCGTGCGCCACCAGCACCCCGTGCGCCACCAGCACCGTTGGATGGTGCGCGCGCCGACGGAGGTCCAGGCGTCCGACAGCCACCCGAGGACATCGCGCAAATTCGGCCGGAAACGCGCCACGGAGGAAGTCGCGCCGTCGGCGTTCCATAACCCCGAGAAGGCCCGCAGCCAATGCTGGCGGTAGCGGGCCTTCGTGGTGGCGATTATGCCCTGATCGAGCGGCTGAGTAAACGCGGTGGTGTTTGGCGGCAAGAAGACAAGCCGCACGTTGCTCATGCACGTGGTACGCACGCCGCACACGATCTCGCTCCATGCATGCTCAGATTGGAGCATGTGGCTGCTCGCGTTGTCGAACAGCACCACGATTTTGCGACCTTCGGCCGTCATCGCAGCGTTAAGTTGCGAAATGAAATGCGTAAATAACTGTAGGACGGGAAGAGAGGGAAGGAAGGGGTGCACAAGGAAACATTATGAGTACGCCCACATGTGGCGGTATTAGTGACGAGCAACAACAGTAAACCCAAGCACAATAAAAATACTTGCTTACCGGCGAGGTCATCCAGCCTTTCGCGTTGTGCCGCCAGTAGCAAAGAGCCTCTGGGTCATAATCCAGGCGGAAGTCATGCGGCCTCTTCGCCTTGCTTATCACAAGCGGGCGGAATGCATGGCTCCCGTCCGCATTCACGAGGAATGCGACGGTGAGTCGCTCCTTGGAGATCTTGCGGCCTGGTATGCGGCCGCTGCTGTACGTTCGCCGCGGAAGCACCGACAGCCATAGCGCCGTCTCGTCAAGGTTGAAGGTGTCCCTCGGGGCGACGCCGAGATGCGTGAGGAGTTGCGGCATCTTCTCACGGGCGTCGCGCACGGCCGCCATGTCCGCGCTTGCCGCCTCGCCTTGTGCAGCACGGCACCGCACCCCTTGGCGCCGCAAAGCACGGCGCACCCAGCCGATGGAGCAGCGGAAGGTGGGCGGAATGCCCATGTTCCTCGCCATCGTCGCGACATGGTCGCGGATGGTCTGAAGTGTGAGGGGCACACCGGCGGGGCCTGCGTTTGCGATCCACCGCGCCATGGTCTGCTCCAGCTCAGGCCATGCGCCACCTCGACGGCGCACCTGGTTGTCGCCGTTTGCCGTGACAGCCCACCGCTCGGCGCTCTTCAAGATGCGGCCGATCGTGGAGCGATCCGGGCGCAACCCGTACTGCGAGTAACACCATCGAGCTAGGTCGACATGACGAAGGAGGGGGTGTTCGACGTGGTGCGCGCAAAGGGCGCGCTTGATATGGAGGGGGAGCTGCTCCCGTCGATTAAAACGGGGCATTGTGTGAGGCTGGGCTGTGAGTTACTGTTGACTTAGTGAAGTAGTTGCTCTCATTTTATCTGCAGATTTTGGCCGTGCTGGGGCAAGGTTGGGGTCTGTTCTTTGGGGCTAGTCACATTTGTGTGGCTGGAGTTCGTTCCATGCACCTGGCTTGCACATTTCATCTTATGGGTTGGTAACCATACGATCAAATGTATGACGTGGTGTATGAGAACAACGCCTGGCTGCAAATGCGCTTGTACCCAACATGGGCAGATTACACGTGGCACTGTGAATCTGCCCACATTGTCTGTTACACGCACGATGATCCTCGCTTAGGTGGCGGGGCAGATGGGCGAATGTGTTAACGAAGCCGCTTTCGTTTCGTCCACTCGGTTTCGCAGGTCCGACTCCTGGCCTGGAAACAAGGCACATCAGGGTCGGCGTTGGTTGTTCGGGACTGCACGTGCTAAAATGGCCGAGTCACGAGCACTGTTTCCTGCCACCCGTGTGCTTGTACTGTGGGAGCAGCAAGCGGGGGTTTCCTGCTCGGGGGCAGCGTGTACCACCCAATGTCTCCCAAACACCCCAATCCGTCTAGATCCTTCTTCAGCCGAATGTCTTTCTGCATAAATTCCTCTGATCCTGGGAAGAAAAAATTCGCCGTCACACGCATGAGCTGCCCAAAAGATTCTCTATCCTGCATGGCCGCTTTCATTTCGGCTGCCCGTGGGTTGTGCATCCACATCGTGCCGTCCATGATCTGAACTCCCGCCGAATTGACGGCTGCGATCATGGTTTCCAGATCGGCCACATTCAGCGACACGGGCTTCTCTAGCAGAATATTCTTTCCGTGATTCGCGGCTTTCACCACCCACTCGACGTGGAGTCCAGTCGGCAGCGGGATGTAAACTGCGTCCACTAGCGGGTCCGCATTGACGTCAGCGTAGCTGCCGTAAATCGCGGCGTCGTCAGCCATGCCGACCTCCTTAGCGAACTGCGCGGCTCGCTCGTAAGAACGGCTGCCTATGGCGTACGGAATGACGCCTGGTACGCTCTGCATTGCGCGAATTACCTTCCGCGCGATCTTCGCCGCGCCTAGGATGCCGAACCTCACGGGCATAGGATTCAGCGGCGCCTCGGGTTCGGCCATGACCGCTCTTTGCGAACGCACAGAAGATCCCTGGAGACTAGGGAGGGCAGAACGACCGGATAGTGCGGACGAACGGTCAAGTAGCGAGTACCGATGCGGGCAGAAAAGGAACTGGAAGGGAGAACCTGATCAAGTGGCATCGTGCCTTGATCACATGGTGCGCGTGACAAAGGGGAAGGTGGAAAATAGTGGCTCGGGTGTCGCGAGCCTTGCAAGACACCAAACCAATAGGTATGTGAAGTCAAGAAACAACACCACAGCTCAGGCTGTTCGCTGTATGCTTGTGAGAACGTCAAGATCGATCTAGTGTGCCCCGATGGAGCTATAAGCTTCTTGTTCTGTACAATATTTAGGGTGATCTACATAATATAAACATTTACAGAAACTCAATTTCATTACTTCCTGTGACCGTCTTCACCCATTGCCACTCGCTGGCTTTGCAGGAAATTTCTCCACCATGCCATCGCATCCAATAAATATGCTTGCTTTCAGCTAGATGGACTCCCGCCAATTCATAGTAGCTCCACATTTGCATAACGACGTTTTTGCAAAGGCATGTCCAGCATGTCTTCTCTTCTAGCATATTTCAGGCTGCCTTATCGATCTCGAAGATTGAATATCCTATACGATGGCTGATATATTCGACACCATTTATGCAACTACACTCGCCATCCTGGTTTCCTTTAGAAGTATATACTTGAGCGGTAAAGTTGCACACTGCACTTCTATTCCCCTCGATTCTTGTATTGCGCCTCTTGTAACGAATAAATCGAGGCACCTGAACCGTCCGATCAAGGTATCAGCAGCAACCACGTGAGCCGTCCGATCAAGTTAGTCCCTAACCAGGTTGAACTAGGCAATTCACTTGGCAGGATCTGCATTACCGTTTTTAGCAATCCAAATATGAAATGCCCAAACAGCTCATATTAGCAGAAACTCATGATACCCAAGATGCGTGCAGCGAGCGACGGCACCACGAGTCTTGATATCTTTGGGATTTTCCCCTCGTCCGTTTTCCAGGCCGTTTTGGAGACGCGAATATTCGTGGAACGCGTGTAACCGTATCGTCACCGCGACATTCGAGTTTTGCTGTTTCTTCAACATCAGAATTGGCGGACTACGCGTCTACCAGAAAACCAGGAGCTAGTACCAGGGAAGTAGGCGCTACCAGGAAACTAGGAGCTACCAGGAAACTTGCAGCTGCCAGTAACAGGATGGCGAGTGTCGGTACGCGAAACCATATCGTCACCGCACTTTGAGTTGTGCAGTTTCTTCGGTATCAGAAGAGGCCGATTTTGGAGTTCTCGAGAAAAGTCGGAGCCAGCAAAAAATCAGGAGCTACCAGAAAAGTAGGAGCTGCCAGTAACAGGATGGCGAGTTCCGGTTTGCGTGCTGACGTGGCACACGGGGCAGCAGCATGGCAGCAGGGTCGAGCCAGGCATCACCAGCTGGAGATTAAGAAGCTTCCTCTCGTCGACGAATCGTACGCACTTCCTCTCTCTCGCCTTCCGTGCCACTGCTTTCGCTCCCCCTGTAGCCGTTTCACGCCCATTTCCGCGTCGCTTCCTTCCCTTCAGTAAAGGTTCGGCTGAGCTCCCAGCTAGTTCACGAAGGAATTGACCGTGCACGGGTCGACTGAAGGGTACAAGCTGGTTTTTTAGAATTCTCAACCAGCACGGGTCGACTGAAGGGTACTCGAAGCTGAAGGGCTGAGCTTCGATTCACCTATCACTTCCCCCACCACCCTCCCTTCCGTCTCCTATTTCCTCTCTCCTCTGAACCGGGGGTCGGCTAAACATCGAGCTGCACGGATAGTCGAAGCTGAGCGCCTTGGCTTAAACTTCACCCATGACTTCCCCCACCACCCTCCCTCCCTCTCCCCTTTCCTCTCTCCCCTGAATTAGAGGTGGTTGAACATTGAGTTGCACGGGTACTCAAAGTCGAGGAACTAAGCTTCCGGTCACCCATCACTTCCCCTGCCACCCTCCCTTCCCTCTCCCTCCCTCTTTCCTTCCTCCCCCCCGAATCAGTGGTCGGTTGAACATTGAGCTGCACGGGTATCCCAAGCTGAACGTCTACTTCGTTGACCTCTTCCACACCCTGGTCAACGTGAGTCAACGTCTCGTCAACGTGAGTCAATGTCTGGTCAACGTGAGTCAATGGTTCTTCCACGCACTGGTCAGCGTGAGTGAACGCCTGGTCAACGTGCGTGAATGCTTTTTCATTGCCTGGTCAGCGTGAGTCTATTCCTGGTCAACGCAAGTCAATGCTTGGTCAATGTTCGCGAATGCCAGGTCAGCATGAGTCAATGTGCCTACCTGAGCTTGGTCAATCATCATCACATTGCATCCCATCCATCCACCAATCCCACCCAACTCCCTGAAATGCCTTTCAAAGCACTGGTGATGTGTGTTGTGTTGTGTTCAACAGTGGCATCACCACTCATCAATCCATGCCATGCCATGCCACCATCAACGCAGCTTCTGTTTTTTGAGAATTCTAAAAAAACATACGCTGCATCATATCTCCCTCCCACGGTTTTTAGTGTGTTCAACAGTGGCATCACCTCACATCAATCCATGCCATGCCATGCCACCATCAACTCAGCTTCTCGCATCCACCAAAACCCTCCCAGATCCCATGTCCTCTCCCAAAGCACTTCTAAGCCGGCATGGCATCATACTCAATTCGGGGTTGCCTGCCATCGTTAATCTTCACCATCATACTCACATCACATCCCCTCCCATCCCACCCACCATCCCATCTATCTACCAACCCTGCAACCCCCCACCCAACCACCCCCCAGATGCCACTTCAGCGCTTTGCAGGTGTGCTCACTGCGTCACCCATCAATCCCTCTGCTGTCATCTCATCCCCTCCCATTATCCCATCTTCCAACCAACCTTCCCTTCCCCCATCCACCAATCCCATCCATTCACCACCACCACCTTATCCACCACTCCCCACTCCAGATGCCGCTGAAGCGCTTATCAGTTGTGCTCGTGGCATCATCAATGGTCAATCCCACCACCATCATCATAACATCTCCTCCCACCCATCGTCCCATCCACTGGACCCCAGCTCTGAAGCGCTTCTCAGTTGTGCACGTGGCGTTGCCAATCGTCAATCCCCCTCACCAACCCACTCTCCCATCCACCAATCCAGATGCCACTGAAGCGCTTCTCTGTGGTGCTCGTGGCATCATCAATGGTCAATCCCACCACCATCATCATAACATCTCCTCCCACCCATCGTCCCATCCACTGGCCCCCCAGCTCTGAAGCGCTTCTCAGTTGTGCGCGTGGCGTTGCCAATCGTCAATCCCCCTCACCAACCCACTCTCCCATCCACCAATCCAGATGCCACTGAAGCGCTTCTCAGTGGTGCTCGTGGCGGCCTATGCTGCCCTCTTCGTTACCTTCGCCATCCCCTTCCTCGCATTCGTAAGCCCTTTCCTTCTCTCACTCCCCTCGCTCTGATTGCTCTCCTCCTGCATTCCCCTTCACCGCTCGTGGCGGCCTGTGCTGCTTTCTTCGTTACCTTCGCCATCTCCCTCCTCGCCTTTGTAAGCCGTTTCATTCGCCTTCCTACAGTCTCCTCCTTGCTTCGTTTGCTTTCTGAAATCTCCCTCATCGCTGGTGGCGGCGTATGCTGCCCTCTTCTTCGTTACCTTCGCCATCCCGTTCCTCGCGTTTGTGAGCTCCCTCTCCTTCCCGCACTTCCCTCACTGCTTTGATTGATCTCTGCGTTCCCCCTCACCGCTCGTGGAAGCCTGTGCTGCGCTCTTTGTTTCCTTCGCCATCCCCTTACTCACCTTTGTGTCCCCCCTCGCTTCACCTCTCCCTCTTCCTCTCCCTCTTCCACACCCCCCTCCCACACCTCACACCCACTCCCCTCCCTGCTTTGTGAGCCCTCTCCCCTGTCTCGCCTTTCCGGGCCTCATCGCTCTCCCACACTCCCCTCCCCTCCCATTCTCCTTGTTCGGTTCTCCATCCTTCTTTTTGACTTGAGATTTTTGTTTATATTTTGTTATCATGCCAGTTTTCCCCGCTTGCTGTACTGCCACCGCATTCTTTCTTTCCAGTTCCTCTTCCCTGCCCGTATTTTACCTGAACTCCGCACCACCTATCGACTTCGCCTTGGGCAGATATCGTCTTTTCAGGCGCCCCAATCGCCTGTGTGCAGTGCACCTCTCGCCCACCTCCCTCGTTCTCTTCCTTATTGTTCTCTGCCCCCACCCCTGCCCCTCTCCGTTCTCCCAGGCTAGAGTAGACGGCCTGGATTGCCTGCCCGGGGTGAAGCGACTGGATCATGCTGTGTGGTTTACGTGAGTGCTGCCAATTTTCTGGTGTGTTTCCATGTCCAGCTGTGTGCATATGTCACATCCTGTTTGTGTCCCCGCGAGACGATTCTTGCGGCACTGCAAAACAAAACTGGAGGCACCGCCAAACAAAATTAGACGCTCCTTTAGATACACGCCAGTTGTGTGCATGCCGTGCATTTGTTGTTGCCATTGTGAAACTGCTGCTCGCTGGGATGTCTGATCATACGTCAGTTGTGTGCATGCCGTGCATTTGTTGTTGCCATTGTGAAACTGCTGCTCGCTGGGATGTCTGATCATACGCCAGTTGTGTGCATGCCGTGCATTTGTTGTTGCCATTGTGAAACTGCTGCTCGCTGGGATGTCTGATCACACGCCAGTTGTGTGCATGCCGTGCATTTGTTGTTGCCATTGTGAAACTGCTGCTCGCTGGGATGTCTGATCATACGCCAGTTGTGTGCATGCCGTGCATTTGTTGTTGCCATTGTGAACCAGTACTGGGTGAACATCATGCCCTGAACCACTGCTGTTACAGCGTTTGTGTGCGTGCTTGCACACACACATGCTCTCCCCGCTTGTCCTTCATCCATCTTTCTTCTCATTGTGCCTGTCGCTTCTCCATGATTGTACTTGCTCTAACTGAATCATT